GAAAAGGGCAACTTTGTATGGCAGGTACCCGAAGTAATAAAGGTACACACCCCATAATTTGATAGAAACTTTCTATTTGTATTTAAAACACTTTGGTAAAGAAATTTTTCAAATCGGTTAAGAAATGTGGAAATGGGAGTGTCTACATCCATCCATCCATCCATCCATCCATCCATCCATCCAGACCCGAAAGCGGACACAAATTTTTTTTTCGTTTTTTTCCACTTTTCTCGACGTTTCAAGCCATTTCAAGTGTAAATAAGCAAAGAAAATTTTTTGAAATTTTTGCGTAAATCCAATACGGTTGCCCGTCACCCTAGGGTGGGGCCTCCGTAAATACTCAATTTGATATACATTTTTGAAAGAGGGCATCAATTTATTTCGGATAAAATTTATTTATCTGTTGACTAATAATGTCGTTTTTAATGTTTTTATTCTCATGTATAGGTAGTTAAGGATATATTTATTCATTACTTTCATAGATAGCAATTCCGAATATTAATTCATAATGAAGCGATTATATGCATTTAAATGTAATATAAAAAATATGAAATTGAATAGAATATTATTATCCTTCAATTTTAAATGGTGAACCGGGAACATGATCATCACCCCACTTGATAATCAAAATGTAGTCTCCACGCTCACGAACCAAGTAGTTAACATTGAATTGATTTCTGCCACTATGCTTCACAGACACTTCTTCACATGGTCCTTTAGGTCCATACATGCCAACGTACAAGAAATTGTTTCCTGATAAATTAAATAAAAAATTAATACGCTTGTAATCATTAATTTATTTAATTTCTACTATATACCTGCATTAGCTGCACATATGACAAATTGGTTGTGTTTTCCCATGTAAGCTTTTTTCAATCCCATGCCCTTGACTTCTACTTTAGATGCATCAGATTTAAACACTGGCATTACCGGTCCGATGCATTTACCACCTTTCATAATCTTAGCAACAGTTTCAACAGACACAGTAGTAGTTTCCTGTGCTCCTTCTTCGGCTAGCTTATCGCCGTCCGCAATTATTTTGAACGGTGATCCTACTATGTGCATATGATTGTATTTAATGGTGCAGTAATATTCACCGGGTAGAAAAGTTGTATATCGTACTTTGTAGCCTTCTTCAACTTCTGTGCAATCCATAGATACCTTTGAAGGGCCGTCCATTGTTACAGTGAGTGTTCCAGCACCAGCATTGCAAGTGTCAATAATGAAGTCTGTTTTCTGTCCAGTTTTTGCTTCACGAATTCCATTTCCATTTGCATGCACAGCTGCAGGATCGGCAGTGTCCTTACCGACCAAAATACGGAAAGGAGATCCAGGTATATGAACTCCATTGAATTTTGTATGAATTGCATGAATGCCATTTTCACGGGGATAGAACCGAACAGAATAGTTGTCAGTATCGATCAATTGAATAAAGCAATCATCTTCAGTGTTTGAAGGAGCAACGACTTTAGCGTCTAAATTTCCAACAGCTCCATTTTTACGTACAATAAATTGAGCAGGCTTATCAGCTTGAACTGAACCTTCAGGAAATTGTGCAATTTCCAATTTATGAGCTTCTCCCATAGCAGGTGAAATATAAACTTTGAATGGAGAATCAGGAATATGACGGTCGTTAAATTTCATTCCGACTCTATAATCGCCAGGCTCATCAACAGTGTATGAAACATCACATGAACCATCTTTACGATCTTTGAAATCAATTTCAGCTTTACTTGGCCCTTCAACAGATATTGCCAAAGTTCCACCACCAGCTTCACGTGTCCAAACATTGAATTCATTGGGTATACCCTGTTCGCCATGCTCCAAACCAGGACCACCAGCTTTTACGAGATGAGCTCCAGTATCACGTAAAGGTCCAATAGTATATTGAAATGGAGACCCAGGGATATGCATTTCCTTGTAGCGAACTGAAACTGTATGTATACCAAGTTCCTTAGGCACAAATGACAAAACATAAAGACCATCTTCAACTTCTACAACCTCACAATCTTCAGTAACACCACGATTACCAGGTGATGTTACAGTAGCTGATAAATCAAATGAAGTAATTCCAGGCATTTTGAATGAGAGTTTACATAAACTACCAACTTCAGTAACTGGAACAGGCTCACGTGTTCTTTGAATCTTTTCACGCTTTCGGTTCGATCCATCACCACTAACTTTGATTGTAAAAGGTGATCCTTCAACATGATGATCAGCGAATTTTAAATTGATTATGTAATATCCAGGCTCAGTTGGTTTGTAGGAAATGTTTAAGGTTCCATCTTCTTTGTCGTTACAAACAATTTCTGCTTTACTAGGTCCTTCGATAGAAAGTGAAAGACCACCATATCCAGCATTTCTCGTGTCTACTGAGAAGATATTTTCAGCATGAGTTTGTCCCTCCTTTAAGGCACCTCCTGAGACTTTCACTTTTTTTGCATCACCGACTTCACGATCAGATACTTTGACTTTAAATGGGGAGTTATTGATATGTTTACCTAAGCGCTTAACAGAAACAATATGTTCTCCATCTTCCCTTGGAGTAAACGAAATGCCAATATTTCCAGTTGGCATTCTTTTTAAGAAGCAAGGCTCTTCTAAACCTGATGGTGCCTTTTCAAATTTTTTGTAAAAATTTTCTATGTTTTAATCTGAAAATTGTAATAAAATTCCGATAAATACTTACTTGAATCGATGCATTGAGCGAACGAAGATCAGCATCAGATATCTTTCCAGGAAAAGTGACTTCAGAGCAAGAACCAACTGATATTTGATTACGTTTTCGACCTTCACCAGTGATCTTAATGTAGAAAAGTTTGATAATGTCCTATTTATAAGAAAAAGAAATCGTTCCATACCTTAGCAAAGAACGGTGATCCTTTGATATTTTTATCACCAAAACGAACTGAGATTTTGTATTCCCCTGGTGCTGTTGGGAGATAACCAACAGAAACTGTTCCATCTTTGTTGTCTTTATAATTAATCTAAATCAAATAATTAATATCACGTTTATTTGAATATGCCAAAGAAAGAAATAAGAAACATATCCATGCATATATAAAAGCTTACTTCAGCTTTACTTGGACCTTCGACTGCCATGGATAAACCTCCTGCTCCTGCTCCTTTTGTTGAAATGGTGAAATTAGCTGGTTCCCCTGTTACTCCATGAGTTAAACCAGGTCCGTAGGCAGTCACATATCCGGAAGAAATTGAATCAACATGAAACTTAAATGGTGAACCTAAAATATTATGAAATAAGAAAATGAAGGCGCATTTTAACAAAAACTTACCTTGAACATGCTCGCCGTTATATTTAAGAGCCAATTCATGGAGGCCTTCTTCTCGAGGATCGTAGCTTATTGAAACAGTTCCATCATGATTGTCTTCTATAAGTGGTTGATCAATACTTCCACTTGGCATTTTTACGTCAGCTGTATCAAAAACCAGAAAAAATTGTCGAATTGTTAGATTGTATTTAAATCAAAACAAAAATTACAGGCATGATCAATATATGGTGCTTTTTACGTTCCTCCATGATTGTCACAAAATTCAAAGCTAACTTTAATATGTTTAAATTAACTTAAGCTTTTCCTGAAACCATTTCGACCGTCACGTGAGCAACGTGAAATGTGCCATATGTACAATGTAGGTAGTTGAAGTTTCAATTTTATTTAACAGATACTATTTTCGAATGAAAGCTACAGAGCTACACAGCTATATCTAGACCCGAAAGCGGACATATTTTTTCTCTTTTCTCAACTTTTCTCAACGTTTCAAGTCATTTTAAGTATAATTAGGTGATCATTTTTTTTTTGAAATTTGTGCATGAATTTAACACGTTGACCCGTCACCCGAGGGTGACTCTGTAATTTTGAGAATTAGGTATCTTAAATTTAGATTTTTATACCAGATGCCATGACCAAAGTTCTCGGTTTTTCTTTCGTATTCAGGGATTTCTTGGCACCAAATCAATTTAAAAATACAACATTTAATTTCCTGCCCAAAATTTATGCCGATAAATTTCATTTTTTTACATGTATGTAGCCATTTTCCAATTTATTTTTTTCCCTATCGAACTTAGACTTTAAATAAATTATTTTAAATAATGGTCTTACATATTTACTGACCTAATTTTCAATGAAAAAATATTTCATTAATTATTTTATTTACGTATTACATCATGTTTTCCATTTTCAAGTATGTAATAAAATAAAATTACATTGTCAAGGACATGCGAATATTCTTTATATATGTATGCTTTTAAGCAGCTCTCTTCCTTTTTCCTTAGATTCTTGTTATGAGTATCATTAAACTGATTATGAACCGGTGAATTAAGTATGTATAAAATTTAAAACTAAATTTAAAAGGATGCTCATGAACAAATTCATTGAATTCATTTTCTCTTCGATTCTCTTCATTACTTTAAATGTACACATATTGAATGAAAAATAATAAATTAATGATAATTGTTAATATGATATTTGCTGATGAACCATGTACAGATTTGTTATCGATTACCTTCATGAGAATTAAGAAAAATATTAGATAAAAAATTTAATTGTACAATATCAGTGATTTCTTATTATCTGATGGATTATTTTGCTCTGGAAAATATACACTAGGTAGTGTGCTCTTGTTAATCGATTTCGGAGAAGGTAAAAAAAAATTCTCTTAAGAATTGGCTGAAATCTGTTCATAAAAGTTCAATGATTTTTATTTGATCATCAGTACACTACTTCATATTCAATATTTACTAATATCCGACGCTGTTATTATTTATCCAGAAATTTCATCTTTCAGTAAATCCACATTTAAAAAATACTAACATAATATACTTAATTAAAAATATTTCAAAATATTTGAAGCGTTTGAAATATCTGCTCCAGATCGCGAACAAGTTAGATATTTGTGATCAGTAAACATTTGGAGGAAAATCATTAAAACTTTTCCCTCATTTCGTTTCACATTTGAACATGCTTGAATATGGTGTCGTCTACTGTGTTTCATGAAAAATGAATCTACAGAATAACTGATGAGAAAAAAGTCATAAAATTTTCGCTAATTTAAGATTTTCACTCGATGTATATTTAGTAAATTGAATATGTTTACGTTCTCACTCAAACACGATGTTACTGGCCACAAATATCCTCGCTTATAAATTAACTTAAATTTGGTATTTGCCCAGTAGCTAATTGCGAAAAAAGTTAATATAAATAAGAATTTCACTGTCAAAGTCACAAATATTTTCTATTCGTTATCAAGAATTCTCTAAGAAATATGATATTTTTGTAATGTTTCAATGCTTCATGATAATATGTATTTAAATACGAATATTTAATTTAATGTGAAATTCACTTTGATTCTTTGTTTTAAATAAGTAGGTAGGCATAATAAAAATGAAGTATTTGGAAAATTTCAGGTTCCACACAAAATTCCTCAGAAATCTGGTTCATCTTTTTGTACTTATTTAACATAGATAAAAACTTTTTTTAATTTATTGATTTCAATTTACCTGAAGATGCTGTTTTTCGTTCTTTTCTCTTCGACATGCCAAAACTGACAAATATAATTATACTTATAACCAACCTAGAGAGAATTGGTAGTGTAAAATTAGCTAATAATTTTTTTAGCACTTATTATTTACTGGAGAACAACCTTTTGCACTCAATTTGGATTAATTTTTGGAAAAAGAATAAATTTCACTTTTGATGAAATCAATTAGAATTTGTTGATAAAAAGTTTCTCAACAATTGAATTGACTTCCTTTTAATTTTTCACTGACCTATGAATTTGCCACCATACTGTTGAGTTTTCAAAATCGTAATGACGTGATCTTCTTTACATATGAATTCGAAAAAGTTTTCAACGTTTCCAATGCTGTATGATTTCCAAAATCTTGACCCAAGTTCAAGAAAAAAAATATACGAAGAAATATTTATGAGATAAAAATTTCTATGCTAAAAAATATGACATGACGTCAATTAATGACTTGAGTTTGTAAAAAACTGATGGAAATTCTCCATACGTTAGAGTTTCAGTGTGAAAAATTATTTTTGCGTTGCGTGCTAAGCTCGTCAACATTATGTTTTTCATGCTGGTAATATAAATAAATTATCTTTGATTTATTTTTGAAAATATTCATAGTTTTGACATCCACATACATATTTTGCACTGTTTACATGATGTATACCGAGTTTTGTGATCATTTAATTAGTTCACTTAATTCTCTTTTTTCTTTGATTGCTCTTAGTAATTCATATAGAGATACTACTAATATTAAATTTCATGATTATAAAGTGCTCTGATTTTAATTTCAATATCAGCAGCGTGATGTTTTTACACTTTTTCCATTTTCTTTTCAGAGTAGTTATTGAAATCGGATTGTATTTAATAATATGAATAAACATGCTACAAATATTCAAATTCATTATAGCTTATGTAAAAGAGTTTTAATTTTTGTAAATAACTGCTCAAGTTTTCGACAACACCAGTATTTCTTAGCTTTTCAATCTTTAAGACATTTTTATCATTAATTCATTAATTGAAAAAGCGTTTCATCCATTGATGTTGTTCCTGTTTGTCATATTTATATTTAAAAGTTTTTTCTAAAGTTTTCATTTGAATTTCGAATTTAAATTTAGAAGCGATTTGTGAAGGGAGAAGTCGAGGCAACAGGTGCAAGTAACATTAAAGTTTAATGATATAGTTCATGCTTTATTTTTATTTCAACTTTCTATTCTCGTATTTTGTCTCAGGGATGTCATTAATTAACGCTACATAGTATTAACTTCAAAATTTGTACAACGAATAAAAAAAGTGAGAAAAAGTAAAATCAATGATAACCAAATAAAATAAGTAGATTTTTTTAAATATTTAACGTACACTTTCTGACGATATTAGAAACAAATATTTTTAATAAACTTTTAAGGACAAATGTCGAGAACAGAATTAGCATGTTTTAAATTATTACGCAAAATATTTTATTTTTAGTTTTCTGGTCCTTATTCCAAAAATATTAAATAAAATCAAGTTATAGATATGCATAATTTACCTTCTAAACTACTGGTTGCTCCTGCTACGGAATTTGAGAAAACAACCTTGTCAAGTTGGATGGGACGATATGCTTGAGAAATTCCTGTATTATAGTTATGATCGATAATTTTCTCTTGCTGGATGCCGTCGTTATAATGTGTAATATTGGTGTATCCGTTACTTCCCTTAAAACTGATGCTAGGTTTTGGGCTTGAATGTTGATGAGAGAATTCCCTCTCGTTTTCCTTTAATTTTATTGATTGTAATGTTTTAAGATCTAAGCTATTAAATTGAATAATGTACTCACCAAAAACTGATCAACACTTGACTCTTCCTTATATTCTCTTATTGAAGATTGAATATATTCTTCGTGGGTGTAATTTATGCGCTTTTTGATTTGTTGTTGAGTGTTTTCTTCTTTAGTAGGCCCAAAAGTTTCGCTATTCTCATTATATGCCTTATGTGTGATTTCATGAAAAAGATCAAGAATATTAGATATTTGCTTAGGAAAAAGCTAATATAAAAAAAGTAAATGATATGTTATTGCAAAATAGATTCATATTTATGTAAGTATTGCATAAAGCTTTAGATTTGTTCTATAATACGAACGCTAAGCGATATTATTGAGGACCTCCATTTGTGAAAAACTAATTATGATTTGTTATCTATATGACAAGAATACAATTACAAATCTTTTCTTTTATTATTTAAGTTTGTAATTCTTTCATATTAACACAATCATTAATAAAACAGCATAAAAAATACCGATAAATTTTATTAAGCACATTTCATATTTAACGTTAACGTTTTCATTGTGAACTTGTAATAGCCACTTTAAAGTTTAAAGAGTTTCATTTTCAATGGAAATTGATTACTAAACATTGCACACTTTGAATTTACCAGCGGAAAACGTTAAATAGAAACTTGTCGACCATAAATTTTATTTATTGTGTCACATAAAAACATTCACGAAACACCTTCATAAAACATTAGGCATAATCATCTTACTTGTTTTTTAAATTTTGAATTCTTCTCAGAACGTGGGTGGTTTTGTTTTTCTTTATATTTATTGTGTTCGAGAAAACTTATTATGATAAAAACCAAAAAACATATTTGAAAAATAAGTCAACGTGCTTCTTAATTAGCCGCACACTATTGGATGATATCTACATCAACGAACACTCAAATTTATTTAAAATATTAAGCAAGTTTTTAAAACTCAGAAATATTTTATAATAACGAAAAACAGAAATATGGATTAAAAGTATTATGTTTCCTTTCTCGATTAGTTTTACTTTATATACATTTAGTCTCTCGATTAGTTTACTTTTATAATTTTCTTATAAGAAAATTATCTTAGAAAATATCTTTGAAGAAAAATTAGTCAAACAGCAAAAAAAAATTAATGCGTCGTCAAGGATGTCGTATATTTATATANCAGTCGCCCTTTAATTTTCAGTTTTTTTTTTCTTTCACACATTAAAGAGAAGAAGGAAAAATGTTGATGTTGAAATGTATAATAAAAAAACATCATCTGTGAATCAACGAGTGTGGAAATGAATGCTCAATTTATAAAAAAAAACAATAAAATATTTCACTGAATGTTGGTGTGACATTTTTGAGGCATGAAGCATCAATCTCAAAGCAGTTTTTTTTAATTTTTTAATATGCCGATGATCTCTACTCTACTTCTTTTCAATATTATGATGATTAATTTTTTCTCCATCCCAATGTTTTAATTTTGAAAGTACATTTAATTATATAAATTTAAAAGCAACACGTTTGGAGTTAAATATTCCTCTCAATAAATAATGAATCAAAAGTTTTTAATAACACTAAGCAATTAGTATTTTCTAAAAAATTATGATTGTATTTTCAATGAATATATTTTTTTATAGATAGAATCTATCTTTTGAAAATATTTTCATTGAATGTTAATTATTAAAGATTTTCACATAAACCAATATTTCTATATTACTATTCTTATGCCTTGGAGTATGTGACATAAGAATTATTTTATTTTAAATTCTCACTTGAATTTCAGAATAATCACTCGATTCACAGCTCAACCATCGAGACGTATACTTTTACAAATGATAAGTTAGCATGAAGAAAAAAATTTCATGTGGGAAATTTTTCAGCAGACGTTTAAGTCTTCCTCAAAAGCATGCTTAAAACATGAAAAGTTAAGATGGCGCTATCGGAAAATTGAATTTCCATGGTGTGAAAAGTGTCTGTGAGAAAATATTGGAAGCTCTTCGTGAAGGAAAGCTTTCCGCAATTTGAAAGCACAGTTAACGAATTAATTTTTTTTTATTTAGGTGATGACTATTCGTGTAGTCAGCAATAAAAATGTTATAGCGAAAAGCGGGAGATTAAAAATAAAAAATTGGTTTTCTTAGTTTTTTTTGAATTTAACTAAACACATTTATGTAGAAATAAGTTAAAAAAGTAAATTATCAGGTAAACCTTTTCCATGCAGAAAAAAGAAGATTGTATGTTTCTGCAACAAAATAATAAATATCATATATTTCCGAATAAATTTAATTATCAGATTATTTTCACAAGTAGATATCATAAATATTTTTTGTCATTGAATCTAAAAAATAAATGAAAATTTTAACGAAGGACATTAACAATGGAAAAAATATCTTTCTTTCAAATTTCATCACTTTTTAGAAAAAAAAATTACCCAAGTTATTAATATAAAGTGTTTATGATTTCAAATATATAGAAATCCTGCCCATAGCTATTTGAATTTCAAATAAATCAAATGTTTTCGTAAATAACATATTTAAAATAATACAACCATAAATAAATAAATAAAATAAACAAATTGGATAAAAGTTTGTCTGTCTATAAGTAACGTGGAAAATTATATAAGAATAAGATCTTTCAGAGCACCTTGGGCATAGCTTTTAAATAAATATTTAGATAAAGTTAACTCATTCCATATTAATTTTAATTCACGATGATTTATTTTAGATAGAACTCCACCATGGAAATAAATTCAGCATAGAAATAAATATGTAGTTTGATTATTTTACCGTCATTCTCATGAGACCATTCGGGACTTGTTTCCCACCAAATTTAACATCAACATCATAAGTACCAGGTTCAGGTAGAAGATAAAAAATATCGAAGAATCCATCTTTCTCAACGATTTCAGTGTCAATATATCTTGATCAAAAGAGATTGAAAACTGAGTCAGCAATCTTAATTACACTCTTCAATATAATAAAATACCTTCCATTTGTCAATTTGATTGTACATGTTACATTTCCTGTACCTGCTTCTCTTGCATCAACTGTCAGACGATTTTTCTTTCCAAAAATTACTTTTTCAGCAGCAGTGTTAACAAATTTACACAAGTTAGCATTTCCAGTTGGAGCTGACTGTAAAATGAATGGCGATCCTTCGATTTCCTTTCCAGCATATTGAACTGAAATGCTGCAAAGTAATTAAAAAATTAAAAAATATAAAAAATATTTTATCATATTAATTACTTATGATTTCCTATTTCTTCTGGAACAAAAATAATGTGAAATTTGCCATCTGCTCCTTGTTCAAGTTGAGCATTTATTGATTTTCCTTGGGCATTTTTAATGAAAACATTAATGTCCTTAGAATTAACGCTTTTTCCAATAGCTTTTGTATCAATTGAAAACTTAGCTGGAACTGAAGCTGGTAAAGGTTGTTTCGTAATGTCACTAGACATTACAATATTACTGCTTTTAACAGCCATTGGTTGAAGAACTTTCATAGTAAAAGGGGAACCAGGAACGTTGTTCTTAGCAAATGAAACTTTCGCAGTGATTGTTGTATTTTGTTTTGGAGGGATAAAAGTCACCATGTAATTTCCATCGCCCCTTTCTTCAACTTCGTAATTTTCGACAGCACCACCTTCAGATGACGTCATTTCAACACCAATTAAGCCAGCACCTGCATCAGAAACGTTGATAAAGAAACTTGCTGGAATACCTTCATAAACATGAAGTGTTTCAACAGCTGGCCCATACAGTTTTACACTTCTAAAGTCACCTGTTGGCACTTGTTGTGATGATCCAGTAATAAAAACTTTGAATGGTGAACCGGGGATATGTTTTTCAGCAAACTTTATAGTAATATCGTACTCTCCAGGCTCAGTTGGAAGAAATTCTACATCGCAAGAGCCATCACGGTTATCTACGCAACTCATTTTGGCCTCACTTGGACCTTCAATTGCAAATGAAAGTCCACCAATGCCAGCTTCTCTTGTTGTTACTGTGAATTTCGCTTTTTGATTCATAACACCTCCTTCAAGACCTTTGCCATAGGCCTTGCATCGAGATGGATCACAACCACTCTTCACATGAATTACAAATGGTGAACCAGGAACTGGCATATTATCATAACACAATTCAATTGTATGTCTACCAGCTTCAAAAGGTGTATAGAGAATTTTGAAAACTTCATTTGTCCGTGTTATTTTACTAGGAATAATTTTTCCTTTTGGATCTGTGATGGCACACGATAACCTGCTTGTATCGATTTTTTGTCCAAGTTTACTCATGTCAACGTTGAAAGCTGTTTGTGCATTCATAACAACACCTGTAAGTATAGGAAAATAAAGAGAAAGTCATGTTGATGATATTCTGAGAGATTTTCAATGTTTACGCATAAAAGTATGATACTCAATCATCCTTTTAAGACAAAATATAAGTTATCTAATAAATACATGTATCTAATTTTAGTACAAACGATCATACAAATAAATAAAAAATAAGGCCTAACATATTTCAGAACAACGGAGAGGTCTCTATCAAATATTAAAAAGATAATGGCAGGAGAACCGGCAAAAGTAGAAGTTTACAAATTTATAAACGTGAATCCAAAAACGAATAGGTATATAAGTCTTAAAGTACAAAAAAAAATGAATATGTTTTAAAACACATTTAAAAATATTCACTTGTTCTGTTTCCCCAAACGATGATTGATTTGATTTCGATTTTAAAGTAGTATCATTAATACAATTATTAGTAAAAAGGAGTACATAACGGCGAAACAACAAGACATTTGATCGTTTTTCAACGAGAATTTTGTAAAAACGCTTGGATTATATAATTTGAGCACTTACTATGCTGAATAGTAGAAAAAAAATTGTACTATTTTTTAAAACATAATACAACTTTACACATAGACCTGATAAATAATATGTCCTAAGAAACTTCTGAAGGGAGTGAATAGCTGCGATAGAAACAGGGTCGTCACTGCATATAGCAATTAGAGAATTTTATTTGTAAACGTTATTGTATAAAAGAGTGGATATATGTATTCAAATGAGGATGGATCCATTATCATTACGTCACGTGTCCATTAAATGTTCGCAGATGTTTTTTTAGCGAAAACAAAATATATGCAACAAAAAGTTAACACAGAAAAGCAAATTTGAAATTGAAATTAAAAAACAATAATCGGCTGGGTTAGTTAAATTGTGAAGGGATGCTGAACTCTTTTCTGTCAAGAAAACCACACATAAATGCCACAACGCATCAAATTACCATTTAACTCAATTCCTGCCCCTGAGACTTTAACACGCTCTAGATTTGGCGTTGGATAAATTATGGATTGGAATGGAGAACCAAGAATATGACGATCATTGAATGTTATATTTACTGTATAATCTCCGCATTCTATCGGCCAATAAGCAATGTTACAAGTGCCATCACCATTATCACGACAATTGAGATGACATTCGCAGGGACCTTCAACGGTCACACCTAAAGCACCATGACCAGCAGCTCTCGTGTCTATAAGAAATTCGGCCAATTCATTTACGATTCCACTATGAAGACCACTTCCCGTTGCAAACACTTTATTTGAATCACTTTTTTTCACACATTCAATAAGATAAGGTTCAGTAAGAAGTGGCGTACCGCAGAATGATACAAAAAATAAATACTCTCCAATTTGTGTGGGAGTGAAGTTTACGAGAAAACCGTCTTCAGTATTAATGATATGTGCTTTGAGACGATTGCCAGAGGGACTTGTAATTGTTACTGATAAATCACCCGGGCTCTTATCTTTTGTTATAATTTTAAATTGCTGAAGACTGTTGACTGGGGCAGCTGAGATTATCAAAGAAAATGTTTTCGAATGAATTCTTCCAGCAAAATGAGAAAAAGCATATTTGATTTAGAAAAAAAAAAGAAGTTTTGGAACTTTTAACAAGATTATGAATAAATATATTGGAATAATCAGACCATTAATGAAGTAAAAATTATAAAAAAAACGATATAAGCACTCACTCAAAAAGAAAAGGTTTATATTTCATATATGAAAAATGTTATTGATTTAGGACTCTTACTTGATTCCAATCCTTCAACTTGAACTTTAGATACATCAACCGTTGGACTGATTACTGATTTCATTGTGAGTGGAACCTTCAAGCCACCATAAGTTAGATTTGTCGTATATGTTCCCGCTAAATCTGGGGTCAACTCAACAGTATAAGTATTATCTTCATTATCAATTATCTGTACTGGCACAGGCTGTTTCGTTATATCATTGATAACAGTAGCTTCAAGAGCTCCTTGACCAGCATCGCTAAAAATTTAAAAACTAATCCTCAAAAATTGTAAATTTCGAAGAAATTAATTCGATTTATTTCACCTAGCATCAACAATGAAATGTGTTGGCTCATTCGGTTTAAGATCAGGGCGTTCCAACCATGGTCCAAATGCCTGAACTTTAGCAGGGTTTAATGGTGCATTGACGTAAACTCGGAAGGGTGAATTAGGAGCTGCAACACCTCCATAATTGACTTCAACAGTATGAGGCTTCGCATTTGATGGTGTATAGAAAATTTGTTTGATTCCATCTGCTTTTTCATTGATTTGTACTTGTTCAGGACGACCTTGTGTATCGCTGACCTTGATTTCCAAGGGTGCAACTCCAGCATTTTTATGATCAATGAAAAATTCGGTTTTTTTGCCAACTTCAAGGCTGTTTGGTTCAACACCTTCACCATAAACCTTGACATTTTGTGGATGAACGTCAGGTGGTTGAACAATAACTTGAGCCATATATGGACTCTTAGGTATATCTTCTTCATCGCACAATATATGAACAGCATATTCGCCCGGTGCTGTTGGATGATATTTCACTAAAGCTGAGCCATCTCCGTTGTCAATGCATTCAATCTTAGCTTGAGATGGTCCAGCTACAGAGAATCCTAGAGCCCCTGTTTCTCCATTCGTTTCAACAACAAAACATGCTGGCTGATCAACAATGCCACTGTGTAATCCTGGTCCAAAAGCAACAATTGATGAAATTTTCTTGGGTCCAACATTAACATCAAATGGTGATTTTGGAATTTCTTGCCCACCATGAGATATCATGACTTAAATAAAATAAAGGTAAGGTAATTACATCATGAAAACGTATATTGATATTCGAAAAGTATACCTCGATAACGACCCTCTTTGTTCGGCTTATAGACTGCATCGAAAGTACTGTTATTAATTGCTTTCATTTCAAAATGCGTATTTTGTCCACCAGGACCTAATATTCTGACTTGTGGTATTCCCTCACCAGCGCCTTCAGTAGAAATTCTGAAATCAGCTACGTCACCTACTCGAACACCTGTTGGTTGTAAACCTCGACCGAAAGCACGCACTTTCTTAGGATCGGATGATGGTGATACACGAACACCAAATGGAGAGTTGGGGATCGGTTTTCCAGCGTAAAAAACATTGACTGAATGTAAGCCTGCAGTAGCAGCTGTGTAATCACATCGCCATACATTTGCTTCAATTTGACGGACTTTTGCAGCTACAGATGTTTTTTGACCTTGGGGATCCAATATGATAACTTCAGGTACACCTTTTCCTGCGTCTTTAGTATGGATATCAAAGTAGGTTGGTCGTTTAACTATAACACCATCGGGAAGAAGTCCTGGTCCACTCGCACTCACTTTACTTGCATCACCTGCAACGCCTTCAACCATGACGTTGTAAGGACTTTTAGGGACATCACGCCCACTAAATTTCACATAAACCTATATAAAAAGGAAAAGTTCTTACACAAAACTTCAATATTGATTACTTCGTAATTTCATCACCTTATGGGGTCCCTGAACTTTTGGGATGTAGGACACGGAATATGTCAATGCTTTATCATTATTGAAACGACTAAAAAACATGAAAATGTACATAAAAACTAAAATGAAATTAAAAAAACGTCTCAAGATATTTACACATCAACTTGTTCCGGTGAACCACTGGGATTTAGAACTTTTACTTCAACATTTCCTATAAATTAATTAATGCTTATTTAGTAAGAATAATTTTAATAATAATTTAATTTTTTAATAATAAAAATTGTTGAACTAACCGCTTCCAGCAGAGAAGGTTTCAACAGTGAAATTGGCAACTGTATCAACAACTGGACCAGTTGGCTCAATACCAGGACCATAACAACGAACCCTATTAAAAAAGTAACAAAGAATTAAAATTTCAGCAGCGGTGAATACGATTTATAGTCAAACAAATAATTTTCACGTAACAAATTAAAAAAAATGTATTCAAAAAATTATTTTTGAAGCCTAGAACTAATCAATAGTCTAACAAATAAAACTTCTTCAGAATTCTTCACATCATGCCTGGTAAAACACTTTCGAATCTAATGTTGTGTGTATTCCCTTATTATATTAAATATCATTATTTTCACAATTAGTTTTTAAAAAATAAAGCATAAGTAGATAAATGTTAAGAAAAATTAAAAAGTCTCGATAGAATAGTAAAATATGTGGTAGCAAGTATTTTTCATTCAGAAATAAACTTACCGAGGTGGTGGGATACTAATATATTAAAAATGATTGTAAAGACAGAAACAGAAAATGTAGGAAAACAGATATGAATAGGTATGAAGTATAAGTTACAATTTTTATTTCAATGAAAGAACTCACCTGTTTGGATTGGTACGTGGGCGGATGGGGGCACCTTGTTTAAGTTTTGCACTTGGATATTGAGACAAATACGTCATCATTGATTGTTCATCAATAACTAGCGATGATGATATTTACATAACGGAAGAAATGATGATGATGATTCACCCATTAAAAACTCAAAATAATATACCTGGATTCGTCATTTCGTCTGGCTTAATAAGTTGTCGCACACCCAACCAATCATCAGCAAGGTTCATCGCTTCAGTGGCATTTTGAAGAGCGTCTTTTGGATCCCAAGTTGACCAATCCGGGCACAGACCTGGTGCAACATTGTCAACCAATGCACCAATAGCTTTTCCATCATTCCAATCTGAAATTTAATAATAAGTTTTACGTACAAATAAAAAATATTTTGATGATTTATTTACCAGTGGTGAAGTTATGTATTGGAAGTTCAGGGATACGATTTTTCACCCAGTTCAAAAGACGTTGTTTTGGAGTTTGTTTATCATCAGTGCCGTCAGTGTCCCACATTGGCATAGAGATAGAGTAGTGAAGAATTAAGAGCCAAATTAATCCTAAAATTAATTTTAACTTGCAATCAACAATATCTGTTGAGTCAATATTGATGATTTTAATTCCTTCACGTTCAAGAAATTTCATGGCGACTGAAATATTTTCTAATTTTTGTGATCGAAAAGTTGGACGCTTGTTGTGCTTGCTCATTTTCTTTTGCGACAAAACTTCAATGAGTGCTATGAGAGCCAGACCATCAGATAAATCTGTTTCGAGACTCATGATCGTCTTGTCAATAATCTTAAGATGTTCGTTGGCCCATCTTGTAAATGTATTTTGTTGGATACGCTTCCACTCGGCATCTTCTGCTAAATCGCGTTCAGCTTCAATCATTTCTTCTTCTTCAGGTGGTTCTCGGTAATCCTAATGCATAAATTAAAAATGAAGATTTTTTTAGTTTCTTCGATTCGTTCTCGAATTAGATATTTTTAAGGCACAACTGCGATATTATTTTGATTTTTATAAAATATAATTAAGAATTAATGATTTCATTGAGCGTATTTGATAAATCTGTAAATATTAAAATTATTCTTGACCGATATGCAACTTTTTCTTCTCCCAATACAATTAAAGTTTTATCTGGTAAAACAGTTTGAGAATCTTACCGGCCACTCTCACTGCACAACCTCAGCCAATATCAAATATCATTAATAATCTTCAACAGGTAGTGTAAATATAAACTCAATATATAAATCGATGTAAAGTCAAATTTAGATACTATTTCTATATTTCTTTAATTGTGCTTGCAGTTTAGTTTTTAAACTTTGGAAACTACCCATATTTTAATAACTTCTACTTCTTTAGAAACTTTAATACAAATCAATGAAATGAAATGAATAAAATGATGCACGATCGCCGATCGTCAGACAGTTGCAACAAATACAATATTGAAAAACCCAACTTATTAGTAGTAGACATGTAGATACTGTCCAAAATTTATAAGTGTGCATTCTTGTTTTTACTGACTGAATGATTCATAAAATTTTCAGATATGATTTTAATTTTTTTTTCTGCTGGAAGGCAAATTTTTAGCATTAAAATATTCAGAATTTTTATACATATCTAGATATCTTAGATTTGATGAGTATTCATTTATTTTTATCGATATCATTTATTTTAAAATTCTCACTCTCTCTCGTCTTTATATTCGAACCTGTTCAGTAATATAAGTTTACATTATAAATATATGTGTGTATATCATCATAAGATTCACTTTCGTTAAAACTCATAACTCTTTTTTCTTTCTTATTTAAGTAATTTAAATTCTTTGAGAATTCCTATAAGAAGAGACGAAGCTTTACATTCAGTAGATGTTTATAATGAGCAGCTTATGTCATTTTCTTGTCTTTATTTGTTTCGCGAAATGATGAGAGCATATCAATTGAGTAAACACATATATACTTTAAAAGTTTTATAATATAGCTTGCAAATTTACTGATCTAATGAGAAAAGTTATGTTGAGAAGTTTTAAATTTCTCAGTAATGACATCATTCTCAACGTGAGTTTTCTTTATCATCGTCTCACAATTGCAACTGAACCGAAACCAAAATATTAAATATAAAACAAAAATTGATATTAAAAAATAATCGTCACACTTACTCGGACGGGGTTAGGATTGTTACTGACGAGAAACTCGCCTAAGCTTTTTGGTGGTTGCTGCATCTTGCCGGCTTTTGTCCTCTCCTCAAACTCTAATTCTCTTCACAACAGCACCTAAAATGGAAAATATACGTTTAATACACATAAAAACGTGTCTTTTTTTTATTTCTCCGCTTTTGTTGATCATTCGAGTTTTAACTGAGCGGAGAATATACATATTAATTCGTGATTTTCAAGGGGTAATCCATCGTATTGCTTTTGACGTATTCGTATCTAAATGATGCTTCGAAAAGCATTAGTGCTTTTTCAAAACTTGTCTTTTCCAAGAATTCGCTTAGTTTTTCTTGGAATTTGCCTAATTTTTTTTTTCAATGGTGCTTTTGTCGGCCAATTTTCTTCGATTAACCCCTTGGTGATTTTACAAGACATTTTTTCTCGCCAATATTCAACAATAAAGATTTCAAAACATATTAAAACAAGAACATTTAACGCTACTTATGAAATAAAACAAGAAAAATGTCACGATAGAATTACTAAACAAAACATTTTACAATGCATTTCACGTCGGGTATATAAAAATTAAAGAATATGTTACGAAAAGGAATTAGAAACAAATTTGAAATTAGTTGCTAACAATCGTTTTCATAACTTGTAAACAAATCTATAAATAAAAATGTAAGTAGAAGAGCATTTATAGATTCATAGGATCTAAAAATATCATTATGAATTGTACTGAAACTTTTCATAAAGAAGATAAAAAACACACGAAGGTGAAAATGATTTTCTCCAACGAACTCGAGTTGAATTAAATTTAGAAAAACGCGAAAAATAAAAAAATTTTTCTTCAAATCTATAGTGAAAATTTCCAAACGAAAAGTTTTTTTTAGATTTTTAAGATTTTTTTCGAAATTTTATTTAGATGTTTTAAAGATCTTTCAAACAGTTTCGAAATTTCACGAATATTTAGGCGAAAAGTTAAATAATTAGTAAGTATACTGAATATAGACAGCAATTGGTTTATAAGCCACTATTATTGATAGAATTCATTAGAAAATACTAACTTTTTTTTAAACTACACTTGCTGAATCCTCGAACACAACTGAGAACTAATTTCCGAAAATGATTTTTCACGAGAAAATTTTGATTCCTGCTTGTACACGAAAAGACGAGAGAAAATAAACTGAAAAAAATCGGAGATCGTATTCATCGATCGGTCAGATTTGTATGCTTCAAGGAGAATATGTCTGCAACGTTGAAGATTTTTAGTTTGAAAATAAGCTGACTTCATTGAGATATCTTTGAATGAAGACATTGATCCTGGCATTGAAATTCAATTCAGAATACATGTAAAGAATATTTAAATACCTAAAAAGTATTATTATTATTATCATGCAAAAGAAATTCACTTTCATCTTGTTCTTTTCTCAATTTGAAAATTTATATCTTTAAAAACTCTCAAACAAGGCCACTGAAAAAATATGTGTATATTCTTTAAAAATGTATTTACCCAAAGCCAGTTTGAAACTTACAATTAATATTTTTATGTCTCAATATGACAACAAATATGGGCATGAGTTGTTAAATTATCCATTTAAGGAATTTTCACGTTGCTATGAGAAAGGTGATCGACAAATAATTTCGAATCATTGTATACATACATGTAGTAGACTCACCGAATGATCAAAAAAGAAAGAAAAAAAAAACAACGTAAAGTGGACACTAGCGCAAACAACAAATTTTTTAATTTTTTTAATACTATTTATTCAAAATTACTTTCTAAGAATTCAATGAAAAATTTTGTTATGCTTTCTTTTTATTATTTTTTTGTTCTTTTTCTTCTGAGTTTTTTTAAATGTGAAGAGTCATCAAAGTCATTATCCGATGAGGAACTGTTGATGCTGCTTGTGGAAGATCGGTCCCATTCCTTTTTCAATTCCTGTAACATATTGGGTGTGAGAAGACCTTGTGCTAACAGTCTTTCTGTCAAACGACCTTTTAAAGGCGCCTTATTTCCTAATAATTTAAAAAATAATAATCTCAATGCAATTATCACTTACAATTTAAATTTAAAAGATATTATATAAATTACCATGATTGTTATATTTTTTGTGACTTGTTGAAAAAATGTCATCATCAGCGTAAGGTGAAGAAATTGAAGCTTCAGTATTTTGCAAGAGCTTAGTAATTTGGAAAACTCCTTGTTGTATGATTTGATCCAATTCAGTTTGAATATCCCTAACTAAATTGGCATCAGGAAATATATCAATGAAACGATAGCTAAACCAAAGATATAAATCAAGAACATCAAAAACTGCTTCCAGATGAACTAAGTCAAGTATTGTCTTTGGAATCGAGAATGGCCACCCAATTTGACTTGTGTTGGTTAACTTTCTTTACCATAGCAACGCTGACATTTGACGAGCAAACTGAAATCAATTTCAAATGCGTATTTTAAAAGATTTATGTAAATTTGTAGAATTATTTCTTACCTTCAACAACATACCGCAAACTAAAGGCATTTTCCGATTTATTGGAGCACAACAAAAAACATAACGCGCTCTTAACGGTAAAGGAACATGCTGAATCATCTCGGCTAGAAATTTGAAGTCTTCTGTGTTGCACATAAAGTAAAGTGAATCGTCAACAGTACTCAGTGATACAAAAATATCCTGTATAATAATTTTTTTATTAATTTATAATGATTAGTAATGTTCTTCAATATGGTTATAAGTTAACTAAAATTATGCAAAAAAATTAATTTTGTTTAACTTACAATGAGATTGCTAAGTGATGAATTAGGTAAATGATAGGCATAGAGTTCAATCTGATCAGCCGTTGGATGGAGACCAGCTTGTGTTAGAGGCTCAGGAGATTTTGAGAGAATTTTCTGCAAAGTTGGTAAGTCGTCTGGTTTGAAAGTTGTTACAAATCCCTGCGGCCACTGAGTTCCATATCGGCCAGCACGTCCAGCAATTTGAAGAGCTTGCGAAACAGAAATTACATCCATCTCTTTTTCTCCCTTTTCGTTGGTTGTTGGTTTGATAAGCGAATAAAAAACTATTCGTCGTATGCTTAAATTTAATCCCATTCCTATAGCATCCGTCGCCACCATGACTTTACAACTATTATTTGGATCATTAAATTTTGCTGCTTGTGCAAGTTTTGTGCCCGGTGGAAGTGTACCTGAAAATTAATTTTAAACGTTAAATAAGTTTTCTCGTTTTTAAGAGAATGACAGAATCCTAATTCAATAAATAATAATGGCATTTTTCAATCAACTTAAAACAAAGACGTATTTAATTATTTTGCAAAAAAATATAAGATTTTTTTAGATATAATTCATGAATAAGAAAACTACCTAAAATTGAGACGTTTGGATTTCAAAGAAAGCAAGAAATAATAATCATTTATAAAATTTCAAATCATATCAAATACTCTAGCATTTCGATTCGAATCTTCACTCCCAATATGGAGAGACGGGAATTTAAGGACATTCAAGATGCATTCGATTTTCACTTAACGAGAAATTAAATTGAAACTAATCTAGTCAGAAACCCAAATCAATCTATTCAATTACAAGATTTTATCTTTTTTATAATCAATATGCCTTATGTTTGCTTTATTGACTGAAAGTGTCTTTCTTGCTTCGAAGAACTTGTTACTGTAATTTTTTCAATGTTGTACAAATTTGACGTTATTAATAATATTAAGTTTTACCATAAATAACAGCAACTTCTTTTCCACGTGATTCAATTTCACGAGAAACAGAGTAAATATCATTTTTACTAAAGCACACAATACAGTCTCCGGGTTGAACATTATCTAAAGTTGTAAGCGCCGAACTCTCCACTGTCAATGAAGTTAATCTTTTGTATTCTCTTATTTCTAATTCTTCTCCTGTTGTTCCGCATAATCGTTTTAAAAGTTCAGCAGTTCCTTCAGATTCATAATCAGTTGAATACGTATAGTGGAAAAAATCACAAATTTCAAATATTTTTACCTGGCTCTCCACAAACATGAATTTCTTCCGCGATTAGTCCTAACAAAGCTCTTGTCCATGCCCATCCCCTACTTGGATCTTTTATTTGTTGAATTTCATCGACAACAGCTACTTCATATGGACTACTTAACGAAGTCATTTCAACAGTGCATGAAACATGTTTGGAAGGAAAATCTTCGTTTTTCGCATATTTTCGTTCTTCGCCTGTTACTAGATCACATGGTGTTCCCATTTGATTACTTTTGTGATAAATTTCTTGTGCTAATAATTTCAGAGGTCCGCAATAGATGCCTGATTTTGAATTAAGGAATCTTCCCAAAGCATGATACGTTTTACCCGAGTTTGTAGGTCCAGAATGAAATATTATTTTTCTTTTAATTACTCTTGCGGATGGATACCAATTTGCTGGTTGTCTCAAATCGGAAATTTGTTTCAAATCGTCCATACAGTCAAGATGAGGGAATATTAGCTTTGCATATCGTAAAAAGTAAGGAAAAATATCATCCACATGACCAGCTCCTTGAACTATATCGCTTAATACAATATGAAGATCAACAGGAAGATTAGATGACTCAATACAATGGCGGCGAAAACTTGGAAACGCTTGTTGCTGAATAATTTCTTAAATGGTTTTATAGTTAACGTTGACAAAACGATGAAAGTTCTCAAAGTTCAACTTACCATCTATACCATGCTCCATACATAGTAATCGAATTTCACGTTTTAAACTAAATTTATTAAGAATTTTTAACAGTTCTGTTTTTTCGATTACATTTCCTGTCAATTCTGCACCGACATTATTATCATCTTTGGATGGTTTTATGGGAACAGGTTTAAAGAGATTTTCAATTTTCTTTTGGTGCACATGTGATAAACAAAAATTTTTGTTCAATATTATAGTTCTATTAAAATGACTCATGCAAAGAGATTTAGTCTTTTCTAAAGATTTTAAAACATTCCTTAAATTTTTTATCATCATTCTTTTGCTAAACCAATTTTAAACTATTTAGGTAATTGTGTTTTACTCGGATTTAATATTTTAAAAGGGAAGAAAAATGTAAACATTGGTTTTTTGTTTTTCATTGAATACACGCGAATTCATTGAATACACACAAAAATTCAAAAATTTAAAATCTGTTAGATATTTTAAACCGTTTGAAAATATGTCATCGAAAATACAAATTCATAATCATAGTGGATTCTATAACTATGCGATGTTTCCATCTTTTATTAAAATAATAATTTAATTTAAGTAGTAACATTTTACATTCTTTTTCTTTATTAAAATCTTCCTTAAGAAACTTATAATCAACATACATAGTAATACTAATGAAAACCTTAAAGAAAATTTTCAAAAAGGAAGTTTGTTTTTTATTAAATGAATAAAGGTGTTTCTGAAAAAAAAACATAATTTCTGTTTCTAATGAACGTCGATTTATAATGAACGTTAACGTCGGTTATTATTTGTCACTGCCGAAAGCTTTGTTGAAATAACATGAGTACTAACTGGTTTATTCTTATTAGTCGAAAGTTGTTTCATAAGATCAGAAGGTATCTCTCCCGTAAATGGTAAAAACTGTGGAGTATCTTTAATGAATTGTTTTGTCTTTGAAGATAACTTCACAAAATCATTTTTTGATGGGAGGGGATCATTCAGTAATGATGTGTCTAAAATAGCTTTTGCGTCATATATTGCTGCCGATCTTTTTGTTTCACTTGGAGGAAGATAAAATATGTCTTGTCTTTCACTGGCGTCAGCAGTCATATGATCAGTTTGCTCATCACTTGAATTTGTGAAAGGTGCGGCGACACTATCACGAGGTGATGGAATAAATATTGGCTCAAAGTACACACTTTTCGGCGCATCAACTAAATCTTCGTCCTCGCTTACAAAGTCATCAATTCGTCTAGATATACTTATTTTTGATCTTACATTTCGACCATTTTCTTCAGATGATTCTTCTAGTCTCACAACATCTTGTCTATTCAAAATTGGTCGAAATCCACTTTCTACGATTACTGAATCTGCTTTAAAACCAGTATTTGGAACTTCATGTACAGGTTGAATTTCAGCCTTAATATTAAATGGGTCTTTAAAGGGCGATCTTGTTGTTGAATGTTTAACATTCTTTTTCGATTGTTGTTGATTTTTTTTTAATTTATGAACAGACATTGATAATGTCTCTGGTGTTCCGTAAAAGTTTTTTTCCAAATCTGTAGCAGGAACTTTCCTATATGAATTAATTTCAGTCGGTTCGCCCAAAAGTAAAACAGGCACTTTTGGTAATGCTGGCACTTTATTTCTCACGTGGTTGTTTCTAATTAGAGGCTGTTGATTAAAATCATATGAAGGCTTTCTATAATGATTTACCATAATTGATTGCTGTGGCGTAAGATATGGTGTTATTGGCTTTCTGTTGTGAATATGAGGTCTTTGTTTAATGGAGATTGGCCGACCCGATGGAAGTCTCACTGGCCTATTAGCAATTATATTTATATTTTGTTGTGGTTTTAGAAAAACAGGAAATCCATTCGAAGAGTAAATTCTTTTAGGAAGTGGGAAGCGAAGGTTTTGTGTGTGATTCATAATTGGAATTTTTGAGGTCATTTCTAAAGTCTTCTTGTTTTCAAGAATTTCATGATTAGATTGTGATATTGATGAATTGATATGGGTTAAATTTTGACTTTGCTCCTTTAAAAGCTTTTCTTCAAAAGTTTCAGCAGCTAAAATTCCTTCATTAATTAGTTTTTCTAGCTCTCCCGATTTCTTTAATTCTTCGGTCACTTTTGATGGTATTGGATTCAAAATCTGTTTTTTTATGCTATTTCTAACATCATGAGTAAGAAAGTTATCACTTGGATTCAATTTTGTTTCATGCTTTATAGAAGGTTCTGCTGCAATATCGTCATACGTTTCATGACGGTCACTCGCCTGAGGCTGAATATCACAGGAATCAAGAACATTTATTTTCCAACCAAGATAGCTGTCAATTGAATAAAAAAAGGTCAAGTCAATTCAATGACATCTTACAATTAAGTCAAGTTAATATTACCGATGAGTGAAGCATTGGTAATAAACCGTATCAGGAGTGTTTTGATCTGGAGTCCATGTAATTATTCCAGGTTCTCCCGAATCACACTTAAGTGTGAGACTTCTTTGATATGCTCCAAAACTTGGATAATCATCAGCTGGTGGACCTTTAATATCAGGTGTCCAGTTACAAATTCTTCCAACGCCAGTAGGTATAACTTTGCCATTACGCGACTGTTGAACACCTGAGAAGACTTTCACTTTCTAAGAATAAGAAGTAAAATTAACCTTTACTTATACAACAGTATAAAAAAATTTACTTTTTTCTCGTCTTCTGTTTTGTGCTCATACCCCCCAACAGGGTCATCAGTTATGTAAAACGGATGATATTTTGCAGCAATATCTACTTCGTTCCCACCTTCGACAATGAAAGTGTAAGTTTTTCCTCGGACTACATTAATTTCAGGAATTAAAAGACCATTTATGTACCAAGATATTCCCCATCCAACATGACCTTCAAAAATTCAATGTTATCCAAGCGTTGTGAATATTAATTAATTTTTTTTTCTGTATTTTGCTTACCTGTAATTGCTGGATAACCTCGTCTTCCTCCTGTTGGTCCCATTTGAGCATAAAAAACTCCATCTTCAGGCTCATAGCATTGAATTGGAGGAATATCCCAAGCATCGACTTTTGGAACTGGTTTTGGTGTTGGCGGTTTATTTTGTTGAAGTTTCTGAGGTGGTGAACGGTTATTTTCTTTAATATCTTCATGATGTGGCAATATAGGTTTTCCATCATTCTCAGGGATCGGACAATTCCAAAATGGTTGTCGACCAAAATCAAGGAACTTATTTTTCTTAAGAAAGTGTGTATGATATGAAACTTCGAAGCGTTGATTTAAAGGTCCAATTGCCCAAATAATTGCTTGTGAACCATTCGTATAAATTGGACTATCAAATTGATCTGCAGCTCTTAATGGACGTTGATATGTTACTATAGAATAATCATTAACAATAGCGGCATTCAACAATCGAATCGAGTTTGCATTGTCTTTTAAACGGGTATCAGGACAAGATCCATGGTTTCCAGAACATTGAGATTTGGATTCTAAGAAGTAATCTTGAGCATAGCCTTTACCTTTAAAACAATTGTGACAGTGTCAATTTTACAAAAAATAAGAGTTTAAAACCTGTTAAGCGATTAACCCAAGAAACAACAACATCTCCACGAACCATCAAACTGTTTTCTGTATCGGAAGATACGCCAAATGACATGTATTCATTGTCATCTGAAATTTCAAAGAAAAAATAAATGTATAGATAAATAAGTTTTCTTCTTTCTTTTAAAGACCCTGTTGTTTTGTCAAACATTTTCAATAAATTTCATAATATTTAACAGAAGTTGAAAAAAAATCATTTTTTTTACAAATATCAAGGAAGTTATTTCATTTTGTCATGGTTTTTGGTCTTCTCAAAATAAGAGGTGATTTCCTAACTTTCAAGTTATAAATATCTTCAATCTTTATGTGCTCTTTTTGTGACATTTTGAATGAAATGATGAAATTGGAATAATGCGTTTTTCTTTAAACTCGTTTTTGAGAAAAGATTAATACATAAACGTGAATATTAAGTAATAATATTTCTTCTTTTATCTATAGCTTACCAAGTTTTGCCACCAATTGAATCACAACACTTTCGCCAGCAACAGCCCAACGCACTTCAAACGCCAGTTCATCATGGAGCACTTCACAGTTTAGTTTTGACTGTAAAAGAGTTTTTTTTTTGTTTAATATTTACCAGCTCTACTAAAGATTATTTGATGTCCACACGAAAATAAATATTTATGATATTAAATGTAAATAAATTAAACGAATTTGCATATATAAATAAATGATATTTTTTATAAGTGAAAGAGAAAGCTTGTAGAACTTCAACAAGTCCACAATATTTATAACCAATCTGGTGGAGAAAGAAAAAAGATTGAGAGAAAGGAAAAATAGGCAGAGAAAGAAAAGATGATACAAATGAAGATTTAATAATTTAGTAGAAAGTTAACACGTTCAAATTAGAGTTTACATAATTTTATTATAAGGATAAGTCTGTTACATGTTATCTTTTTACCTGTGGACTAATGCCTAACATTTTCAATGATGGTGGTACATTAACCTTCTCTGGAATACGAACATGCCCAAAATCGACAGTGAAAGCTGTTGAAATTAAAATTCAAAGTTCATTTCTTCTGCATATTCCGATAACAATTTTTTTAAGCTATATTTTGTCGTACCCTCACACCATACGCCAAAGTGACCAATATCAAAAACGGATAGATCGCCAGGAAGAGTCAAAACTATTGTTTTTCTATCATATCGCCTTAATGGTGATTCCTTACCATTTTCATCTGATATTCTAATACCGTTTGGTGTTGGCTTTTCACCGCGGCCAACCCAAAATTTTGCATCTGATTAGAAATTAAATTATACAAATTTAAACATTTCTTACTTCTAGTTTTAAAATAACAATAACAAATTTCAAAGTTACTTTAATATATAACAATACTAAACGGAAATGATACCTGGAGCTACCCCATCGTAATTAAAATTAGGTATCAATAAAGTTTGTGCATCAACAATCACAATGCTGTCAGACGATACAGCATGTATACCCCGTAGTCCTCCAATTTTGCGCGGTCGTGGAAAATCTAAGTTTTTTGGAATAACAACACTTCCAAAATCAACAGAGAATTCATCGCACCATACAGAAAACCATTTTATATCTCGAAGTGTTTTTCCTTCAGGAAGTGTTAATGTTATGTCCTTGTGACGGTACGGTCTCAAGACCTCATTACTTCCTCTTTCATCACGTATTCTAATAGCACCTTGAGCACTTGGTGCACGAGATGTTCCTACGTAAAAGTAAGCTGCTGGACCTTCCCCATCATATGTGAAATCTTTAATAAATAAAGTTCTTGAATCTACTGCATATACATCTCCAGATACACCATGATGCAACTCTGATAATCGACTTATGTGTGTACCGTAATATTTTTGCGCAGAAATGATAGCTATTGGGAGAGAAAATAAACTTTTAGATAGATATTTAACTTCTTTTATCGTTCTTTTTTGTTAAAGTACCTAATTAAAACAAGGAAAACCATTTTTAATCTATGAGTTTAGAATTTTGTTGTTTCAATTGTTTTTGCTCGATGCAAACTATTTTTAATATTTAATAATTTATGTTTTTTAAACCGATTGTTAATAAATAAGTAGATTGCTTATTTATTAACCCTAATTTAATAAGAATTATAATAGAATTATTGCTGAAACTTTCCTTATTTTTCTAATGAACTAAAACTGATTACTCAGTTTTATGACACTCATTGCAAATGTTAAAAAAACTACTAAATGAATTATGAAATATATTATAATGAGAGAAAGTTTATCTTTATTCTTGTAATTAGAAAATTTGTAGATAATCTAATGCAATGTGTCTTACAGTGACTTAATAATTTTTTTAAGGTGAATGTTTTCAAACGACCTATTATATTTATTTATTCATCGTGATTCATTAATTTTTACTCGAAATGATAGCAAATATCAGGTAGATCTCTAGTTATTAATATTTAAGCGATAAATATATAAAGGCCTGACCTAAAAACTCTTCAAACTGAATTGTGATTTGTTGTTTATCTTCAATTGGTTAAAACGGATGATATTATGAAAGTAGGGACATTGAAATAAGTATTAAAAAAATTAGTAATGATATTTCATTAATGTGATCCTTCGAATGAAAACAATATTGATGGTATCTACTGATGGCGTATGCAAATGAATTGTCAGATAGAAGAAATGAAATGAATGGAAAATAAATCTTGTAAAACCAATCAGCTAATCGTATTTATTTACCTAAAAGCCAAACGAATAACCATGTGTTGAATTGTTTTCGATTATTATATTATTTAACGCGGATGAATGTAAAGATGTTAGATATCTTAATTGAAATGTGAATTTTTGACCTTCAAATTTTTTTCCCTCTCATGCAATCGTTTATAAAGACATAAGGAAAAATCCTCAGAATTCAAAGGAACAAATATTAATTAGAAATCAAAAACTTCATATGTGATTGTTATTAACAATTCAATACCCAACACAATGGATTATCTGCTACAGGCTTAATGTTTATTCATCAAAACTTTGCATGCAAACATGTTACGTAGATGAAAAAAGTGAGCGTATGATTTTGCTGTTCAAAATGTTTCAATGAAACTTGTTTCTTTTTAACTGCTTAATGCTTACTACTTGAAGGCAAAATCAATTCGTAATTAGCCCATTAAATCATTCTTTGAGTTTACGTTCAACCTTACTGTCATCTTCAATATGTTATAGTTTTCTTTCCATAGCAAACCAGATCTTAAAACATTTTCTACTTAAACTAAAATAACTGTATTAGAGCTTTCTTTGGGTCGCTCATCAACATCTTCTTTTTTTCTTTAACGATGAATACACAATCAAAACTTATTCAATATAAAATTACAATTCTCATTTCAATCATCTTCATACAATAAGTTTATTTTTAATTTCTTTCATTCGTTAATGGCCTTAACCAAACTCAAAAAAAAATCGTCTACCTTTTAAGTTAATTATCTATATGTTACGCAAGAAGCAAGCTTTACATTATAATAAAAAAATTATCTTGCTCTCTTGAGCTTGCTCTGATTTCAATTCATAATGAAGGATTTAGGTCATATCATCTAGCATGATCTGATTTTCATTCAATTATGAATGTTTTGATTCACCAAAATTTAATAATATTTATTAACAGAATATTTAAAATATCTGAAATTCACAACAAGAGAAGGTTGGCTTACCTACAAAATGCAAGAGGAATGCAAATAGTAACATATTTTTAACATCCATAATTATTAATCTCCAGCTGTTTTTAAACTCTTTATTGTTCTTTTTCCAAAATACTGTTTTAATTATTCATCTGTTGAAGCGAATAATTTCATTTGCTATTGATTTAGGATCGCAAATTTATTAATATTTTTTTAAATATTTTACTTTCTGAACAACGGTAAAAGGACAAAATATTATTGTGTCTTTTCATCCACACCTGAACACAACAAGAGTACACGAGAAACTAAACTTCAATATATATGAATGAAATCTTTAAGAGGCGTTCATGCTTCTTTGTGTTGCTTTATATTTGTTACAGTGCTTGGCATCGCTTAGTCTTCGTGTGTTTTGTACAATAAGCTCATTCAAGCATTAAAATTCTTACGTCTCTACGAACTTCGTTATACTTAATTTTATAAAATGACACATCTAAATGTAGTTCTTAAAATATTAAAATTTTCATATTATTCTGTTGAATTCAATTGCAGTTGCAAAGCTTATCTGTTGTAGATCAAAAAGAAAATATAAGCTTAATGCTAACATCTTACACATCTAAAATAATTTGAGAAAAGAAAAAAACGAATAGAAATTTTGACTTTTAATATAGATCTAACTTGATCATATCGTCACAATGCCGAGCTCTGATTTTTTAGTTAGCTAAATAGCAGCAATCACCTTTTTTCTTCTTTTCTTCTTATTTAAGGAAGTTTAATTTCTTGTGTTTTTTAAAAAAATTTATTATCTTATTATAATAAGAATGTTATTTTGAAGAATGTTGAAGGCAATTTTAGAGAGCAAACGAGTATTGCACGATAAGTTATTTCTCGCAAAAAATACACTGATTATATAACAATGAAATAGCAATAAGTGTTCTAAATATCATTTAGACAATAAAATGCATTTTTTGTTTCAATTCATGTTAATCATCAAAAAGGATCCTGTTTCATGAAGGTAGACAGAATCATTCATAAGTAACCTTTTTACGCCGAGATTTTTCTTGAAATAATTTTGCGGCGAACTTCTGTCAAATAAATTATTATTAAAATTGAAATAAAATTCGCACCTTAAAAGATTTCATTCTTAAAACACGAGAAAGATTACTTTAATATGAATACTCAAATCTTCAAATACTTCCGCTAGGAATGCTTAAAAGTTGTGATTCTTTTTGTCGGCATTTGATGAAAAGCAGATTTATTCTCGAAATCTTTTCGTTCGAATGACCATAAAATAAGTTTCAAAAAAAAAAATTAAAAAAGAAAGCTTTATTAACCATTAATTTGAAAAAAAAAACATGCTTCTGATGATAAACAATTCGATTGCTTGCTTGTAAAAATATGAAATATTGATGATTATAAGAGATTGTAAATGTTATTAAATATTTGGATTAAAAGAATATTTCAATTAGATAACAGTCGAAAACGAAAAAAAAAAGATATTTTATTCAAAAGAATTCACTAACAAAAAGATTAAAAGTTAAAGTTATATAATATTAATTTTTTTTAAAGTAAATAATGAGAAATAAAACAATAAATGCACTAGGCGTGCAATCATAGCCATCAAGTGAAGATTACACTCGAAGAAATTTTTTGCGTTAGAGAACAAATTTTAAGAATTTTTTTGAGGTGAGTTAAAGAAAAAATACATTGTATTGTAAGTAAATGAATAAGAACACGTTAGACATAGATATGATATGAGTATGCTTAAATATTTACATAAATTTTGTTTTTGCTGTTTTTTTTTGTAATCTCAAATGCATATGTTGCATTTAACTCTGACCCAACTATTGTTTGATTTGAATGATGTTCAATGTCTAATGCGGACGTGGGATTGTCACGGCTGTCATTTTTTTCGTTGATATATGCTGTTTTAAGCATATTTATATATATGAAATTTTCAAGCGGTTTTAGCCCTCGCATGAAAATTATTCGAGAGAATGGTGCCTAACATCTATAGAAACTTATGGCATCTTCTTATTGAGCCATTCAATATACTTAGTCTGACGGCGGTATTTATCACAAGAAATTATATTAAATCGGTTATCATTTTAACACTTTTCAGCTTTTGGCGGGTTGTTTACAATGAGAAAAACAATTTTTGATTTGATTAAATTGGTAGTCGTTAGAGGATCAAAAAGTAGCGACAGAAATTGACAAATAAAGGTGAGCTTTTGTTTTGATCAGACTCATCAGTTTATACCACACACTTTGCTGTTAGTCAGTAAAAAGCTATAAGCTTTTCTTTATTTTTCTTATTAAAAAGAATTATGAGAATTAAAACACATATATAGGTTTAATAGCTGTATAAAAAGAATACACTTTTTGAATAGATTTATTTATTTATTTTAACATTTATTGCCCAATTTTTTGTGTTGCATAATATAATATAATATAACTATGTTGATATTTAGCTATGTAAATAAGATATCTTAATTTTAGATGAAGTAAATTTTTAATATTTAATATGAATACAGGAGTCATTAAAAAATGTTAAAGTTTTTAAAATACTATTTTTCCCACATATAGAAAGTTATTGCATATAAAAAAATTAAATAAAAATAAACAGATGAATTAAAAAAGGCAAGTAAATTGAGCATTAAAATAAGCAAATAGAAATATTACTTATTTATTAATTAATTAATTAATTATAAACTGAACGGATAAATTATTAATTAAGTTTTTTGGTTAGATTTCAATCATCCTACATCGTCTTCAAAGCCTCACTCTCATTTTCTTCTCATATTTTTCACAAGGGGTATTTCATCGAAAAAAAATGGCCGGCAAAAGCACCATATTGATGAAAAAAATAACAATACCAACACAAATTCTAAGAAAAATTAAGCAAATACTTATAAAATTGGCATTTTTATGAAAAAACATTGGTGCTTCCGATGCATCATTTAGGGGAAGCCGGCAAAAGCACTGCGATGAATTGCCCCTTGATTTTTTAGTATGAAGGCATTTCAAGAGAGAATTTAATTCAAGGGGTAATTCATCGAAAAGAATGGCCGTTTTTTCTTGGAAAAGCACTACCTAGGTAGTATTTTCCGAAGCATCATTTAGAGCCGGTAGAAGCACTACGATGAACTTCCCCTTGGTTTCATCCAATCGAAGAGACATATGAATGTGCTTAATACAGATTGAGTTTAGTTTGATTTCAAACGTGAAAACATAAAGATTTAGATACAAAAAATAAGAAAGTTTAAAACATTTTTTGAAAAATTTCAAAATGAGAAATGAACTTATTGATAGAGTAACATACATTTTAATATAATTGATTAAGATTTCAATTTAAGCAGCTGAAGATTCTAATCTTATAATAGAATTATACAATTAAATTTAAATTCTAATTCAAATCAAAATGAAATGAAACCATCCGTGTTTATTTAAAATTTTCTAAATACTTAAGAGACATCAATTTTAAAATTATTCTCTGTGTGTAAATTGTATAGATGTTCTATTTCTTTGATTTCTATTTCAACCTGTTTCGTAATATGACCGACTCTTTTTCTGAATAGAAAATAGTATTCTCTTCGTTTGCATTATTCTTGTTGTTTGTTTCGTCATTATTATTATTATAGATCTTTAAGACTTGGGTCAGGTCAGGGTCTTACAATCAGCGCTAAAACGTTTATTTTGATTTCTTTCTTGATATTTTTTCTTTCTGTGTGTTTCAAAATGAAAAGAATTCTTTAATTGATTTCTGTTTTCATCGAAATTTCAGTTCGAACGTGATGGCTATGTTGTTTTAGAAGACTTCTATAGTTCAGAAGAAGTAGCAGAAATGTTGACAGCCGGACGAAACTTATGTTTTGAAGCACCGAAAGAGGAACGTAAAGTTTTTTCAACAACGAGTCCCGAGTCATCACAGGTTGTTGTATAATCAACTCATTTCCGCATTATTTTTTAGTTTCAGACTTGTTAATTTCTTTCAAATATAAAGCGAATTGTAGCTTCCTTTTAACTTTCGTTATTTTTCTTACAGAACCGAGATAAATATTTCATTGAATCTGGTGATAAAATTCGTTACTTCTTTGAATCTGGAGCTGTTGGGAAAAATAATGAAATACTAGTTCCCGAAGCATTCGCTTTGAATAAAGTTGGTCATGCATTAGCTAGCCTTCATCCAATATTTCGAAAGTATACTTTTGACAACAGAATTAGAGAAATTTGCTGGCAATTAGGATTTCAACGACCAGCTGTAGCTCAAAGCATGTATATTTATAAAAATCCAGGTGTTGGAAGTGAAGTTGTTTCTCATCAAGGTGGAGAAAGAATTATTTATTTTACGAAGAAAGTCTTAGTTTTATTATTTTAGATGGAACATTTCTTTTCACTGAACCGGCGTCTACAGTCGGTTTCTGGATAGCTTTAGAAGACGCTACTCTTGAAAATGGGTGCCTGAAATTCATCAGATCTTCACATAAAACTGATATTCATCGAAGGTAAGAATGTTTGCATCACACCAGATATAAAATTCATATTTTTTCTTCAGATACATTAGAAATGCTGACAAAAGCTCAAAAGAAATTTTAATTTATGATCGACCTGCACCTGTGTACCAGCTCTCTAGTTTTACAGCAGTTCCTGTTAAAAAAGGTTGAAAATAAATAAATTCCATTTCTTTAAATTATTTTTATTTTACTTTCTGAAAATATTTTAGGAACTTTGATTGCAATCCATAGTCAAGTTGTTCATCGCAGTGAAAATAACAAATCAAAAGCATCTCGACAGGTGTATACTTTTCATATGATCGAGACTCGCCACACGAAATATTCAGATGAAAATTGGCTTCAAACATCTGAACCTTTTCCTATTCTTTATGAACGATAAGTTTAGAATGAATATTAGTAAAATAGGAGACGTTTCTATTCATTTGATAATTTTCTATAAGTTCTTTTTATACTTTATACACATATGAAGTAGAGATTAAATCTTGACGAAAGTGAATTAAAATAATGAAACCTTCATATCTATATAAAATATTCTTATACACTATTGACTGTTTGAATCTTAAGCTAACAGCTTCACTAATGAAAAGAAAACTTAAAAACCTTAGAATGATCTTGTAGAAAGTCTTGAGAGTTATAAAATATTTTTATATCCTGATGATTGTAAATTCTCTAAAACCATTAACTGCGTCAAGCATCTTTTACAACAAAAAACGACATCATTATTTTTTTCAAATGGTTTAATTAAAATGAATTGCAACTGAATCATGATAACTGTTCTTCCATTTCATTTTCACGGAGAACGTTTAAAAAATTTTGATGGCAAACTGTTGAAACTTGTCAAAAAAATAAAACAAACAATCCATTAGCAGGACTTCTAAAGATTTTAAAGAAGCACAGAATCGTTTTGAGTTCCATTAGGAAAAAAAAAACTTTAAAAATAAGCTAAAATTAAATTGATCGTTTTGAATTTAGATTTGTGACTGACATAGAAAAGTCTATGAATGAAAAACATGTATATTGATGACGTTCTTTGTGAATTTAAGGAATTATTATTTTTATTATTTTTCAAAAACAAATATGTATGAAACATAAAAAAGGAGAGTTTGAAAATCTAAAGAGAATATTATTTCATTGTACGCATGATCAAATGAAAAATAAAAAGTGAAATGAACACTTTATTTATATGGAAAACAATTAGAAATCAATTCACTCAGCTTCTTTTTTTATTTGACTTTTGTTGAGCAAATTTCTACAAAAAGAATAAGAAAGGACCTTTTATACAAAGAGCTTTAAAATTTAGATTTAAAATGAGCGAGAGGAGAAAACCAAAATTTAACGTGGATGACAAATGTGAAAAGCGCTATGAGAAGCACTACCCTTGTGCTTCTAAACAACATATCTGTATTGCACACATTTCCTTCTCTTAGAAACAATGAAAAAAGGAGAGTTATGAGAGAATATTCGGAAGAAATTTGGATTTGAAGTGAAAAATGTAAGCGAGATATTCTCAGTAGGAAAAAGTTTCTTGAATCGTAGTGATGATGTATCCAATGCTGATATCCTTTAGTCAAAATGGCGCTAATTGAAAATGAAAAAAAGAAATCATTTAAGAAAACGAGTCATTGTGAATTTTAAACTGGTTTAGTGAAGATTTCCCTTAAAAAGAAAATAGTTAAAAATGAAAAGCTTAACAACTTTAGAACTTTTTTCTGCTTTTCTAATAATCACAGAATAATTTCTGACTTTCAAAATTGACTTCTCACGATTGCAACTCAATTTTATTATCCACATTAGAATCAGAATAGTTATATAGATTAAAAATATTTTTTACCGAGAGAGAAATTAAATTTCAAGGAACAAGTTTTAACATTTGAAAGGAACGTAAAGGTAAGACTTAGACAATAAAAAATATTTATTATAACAAAAAAAAAAAATATAAAGCGAAAATAAAGGAATAACGAATGTTTCGTTTAAGTTACTAGTTCTTCATTATCATTACTTTAAAAACTGCTTTTAAAGTATCCAACAAAATATAAGATATGCATAAGATACGTTGTTGAAAAACGCAAGAAAAACTTTTAGCTCAATAACCTGTTGTTCCATCAAATCGTGGATAATTTTTTAGCCCACTAACCTGTTGTTCCATTGAAGTGAAAATAGAACGATATCTCATAATCAACGTTGAGGATGAAATTTCCATTTCCAATTCCTTTCGGAAATTCCGGGATGACTCTTCTCTCCAAATTAATTAGGACTAAAGATTTACGAAAACTTCAAGGTGGAGATCCTAAAAGCACAAAGCCAAAACTTACGGTAATTGATTTTTTTTTATATTGTGTTTACATAAGTAGAAACAGATAAGCTTTCAACTTTTAGCTAATATCAAAGTTTTAAATTTTATTTAAAACCCTGATATTAAGCTGAAAGCAGAAAACATTTTCTTGTTTCCGCATGAAAAATCCTAAAACGGTTTTAAATACTGAATACTATGGTATTAAAAAACTTCGGAAATAAGTTATTTTACTCTATTATACTTTTGATATACTATTCGGCTTAGAAATGTCTGACAACTTTGGACCTTACAAGTTTGGGTGTTGGGTCATGCTGCGGAACTGGTATGTATTTAGTTGCTGGAATGGTTGCTAGAAATATTGCGGGTCCAGGGGTTGTATTCAGTTTCATTATTGCTGCTGTAGCAAGCATCTTTTCAGGTAAAATAAAAATTTTAATTAAATATACATATAAAATAAAATTTCTTTGCTATCTTAGGCGCATGTTATGCTGAATTCGGTGTTCGAGTACCGCACACTTCTGGATCAGCATATATGTACTCATATGTCACTGTAGGCGAATTTGTTGCATTTGTTATCGGATGGGATATGATATTGGAATATTTAATTGGAACGAGTGCTTGTGCATGTGCTTTAAGCGCCAGCTTTGATTCTTTACTTGGAGGATCTATCACAAGCAGTGTCAATGAGACATTTGGAACAATTTTTGGACGACCTCCCGATTTGATTGCTTTTATTATCACACTTTTAATGACTTGCATACTAGCTTGTGGAGCCAGTAAATCGGTTATCTTTAACAATGTGCTGAACACTATAAATCTTGCAACCTGGGTCTTCATTATGACAGCTGGTATGTTCTATGTTGACACAAGCAACTGGTCAGAACATGACGGCTTCTTACCTTTTGGATGGAGTGGAGTTTTCACAGGTGCTGCAACTTGCTTTTATGCTTTTATTGGATTTGATATCATAGCGACAACCGGAGAAGAAGCTCATAATCCACAGAAAAGTATACCAAAAGCAATTGTTGGATCGCTTATCATTGTTTTGATAGCTTACGTCAGCAGCAGGTAATTAAAAACCAGAAATTTTGTCTAAGTATTCATTAACAATGTTTCAATTTTTATTTTTCTAAATTATTAAGTTTCATGTTGACGCTTGTTGTTCCTTATGACCACATAGACACTGGTTCAGCATTACTACAAATGTGGTCTTACGTCGGGGCTTCAAAATGTCGGGCTATCGTTGCTATAGGTGCAACGGCAGGCCTTTCTGTTGCAATGTTTGGATCAATGTTTCCAATGCCAAGAGTAAAAATGATATTTCATGATTACTGTAACAATCTATAAGGTAATCTGATTTTGTTTTTTTTATTGCAAGGTGATATACGCTATGTCTATCGATGGATTAATATTTCGAAAACTATCTCAACTTTGGGAACGAACCGGTGTTCCTGGTATAGCAACAATTTTAAGTGGAATTGCAGCAGCATGTGTAGCATTAGTTATAAGACTGGAAATTCTCGTTGAAATGATGTCGATTGGAACACTATTAGCATATACTCTTGTATCAACTTGTGTATTGGTGCTCCGGTACCAGCCTCATAGTACATCGTTGATTGATTTACTACCAGTGCAAATTAGAACTCCTATTCCACCTAGCACTCCAGATCCCACAAATCAAAATAGTAAAACAACAAAGATTATAACAGTAAGAAAAGTTACGAGAACGTCACCTGATTCCGATGATTCCTTCGTTGATGACAGTCCTGAAGGATTATACTTAGGGAGGGACGATCAATTCTTAGTTTCAGACCGCAATGAAAATAAATTTTATGGAACTGTACATGGAGCACCACAAGCTGGAACTGTTCCATTTGATGCTGTTCCGGGCCTCGGCATCATGGGGAGAAAACTTCATGAGTATGCTTACCTTTGTCCAGGATTTTTTCCGTGGATAAATCCAGGCCCAGCAACAGAAGAAACTGGTAAATTATTTTAACTGTTTCTTTTAAAAAATATCATAGTGATAAAAATCATTTTAATTTTAGGAATGTTTGTTACAAAGCTTGTTGGTCTGATGTACATTTGCATTTTTAGTATGGACCTTATGCTTGCTGTTGGTTTCAGTGGATCTTTCTTTGGATTGATTTTTACATTTCTTATTGTGTCGTTAATATTTATCCTTCTGGTAATATCAAGACAACCGCAAAATCGCTATGCCCTCTCATTTCTCACTCCAGGACTTCCATTCATTCCGACAATTGCTATCACTGTGAACATTTATCTTATATTCAAACTTAGCATTCTAACACTTGTTCGATTTACTCTCTGGATGTGCTTAGGTTTAATCATGTATTTCTATTATGGAATTTCTAACAGTTCATTAGAAAATCCCACTGAAGAAATCGAAATGTCCGAAGATCAATCTTGTGTCTCTTCTCTTAAGGTAAGTCAAATAATTAGGTCGCAAAATACTGCACATTCAGTTATATACATATATATATGGTGCCGATGATGGGGCGAATCAATATATGTATTCCTTTTTTTTCACTTCTTTGAAATTTTCTGAATTTATATTTATTTTAAGAGACCGGATATGAATGCTGTATGGGATAATAGACATGTGTATGAGAACAAAATGGCTGATAATGATTGGGCAACGAACGGAAATACGAAATGGAGTACTTATAATTATAAAAATAATGGTTCTGGATGGGAAGAGCAAAACGAAACTATCAACTATAACACTCAGCCAATGTATACAACAACAACAAGTCGTCAACAGCCACCTCAAACACACAATCATCGGCCGGTTCCAAAGAAGGATGGATTTTCCTCACTTTTCGTAGCAGAAGCAAGTTTTCCATCCTGGGAGGACTAAGCTAAGTAATATAAGTAATATTCATAATGTCAAAGAATATTCTCTAATTTATTCATTCGTACCTATGTATCTACTTATATTTATGAAGCCAACTCATTACAATCCTAAAAATTTGAGTTTTAATGAAGGATATAATAATAATAATGAAGTTTTGAGATCCACATTTTAATGAATATTTGAATAAATGATAAAAAAGTTTTCAAGTTAAAGTTCATATTTAAAAAATAAATGTTTATTTATTGAATAATCAGAGCAATAAACTAATGAAATATTGAAAGAAATGATGTTGAGTAAGGGTAAAAAGAACACACTTTTAATAATTTCATGAAATGAATGTGTCTATAATATTCCCATTTTAATGTTGCATACCTAAGTATCTACATTAAAAATTGTTTTATGCTCAATTTATAGAAAAACGCGTTTTATCTTCAAACGTATTTAATTTTTTTTTTGCGTTTTACCAAAATTAAAAATACAATAAGATTATATGTTTACATAAAGATCAATACTAAAAGATTTATGTTATGTCTCTGATTTAAGACACGATTGGTGAATTTGTTATTAACTTGAATTCTAGTTCATTTTTCACAAGTTATTTATTATCATTAGGAAGTTCAAAGTTTATTGGTTGAGCATTTTAAAGTACTCCCAAATGGTCTCAGATTTTTTTTTCCAAATTTTTGAATTGACTCTACTCTATCTGATTAATCTCATCAGTTCTTAAACGATTAACCACAAAAATACGAGGCTTTCTCACTCCAATAGTTGTTTAGAGGTTTTTTTAAGAATCTTAATCTATTTTTGGAGCAACTCTTATCCCTTCCATTCTATCTAAATTAGTTACTATAATTTATTTTAGCAATCACCATATCTCTATGACTGTAAACTTGAGAATATTCATACTTGAAAAGGTTCTCTTAAAAAAAGATAAACCGAATATATCATAAATGACAGCGCTGCATATGTTACAATTATGTGGTTGTTGTGATATAAACCTGCATCAAAACTGAAAGGAATGCTTCTTTACAAAGCATTATAAATGTAAACGTCGACAAAACAATTATTCTTTATTCTCATCTACGTGAAAAAATACAAGATTAAAAATAAGGCAGAGTATCTCTAAGATTTCATCAAATGTTTAATTTGTTTTCTGAATATTTTCTCACAATATGCATTATGATATTGACGAAAGAAATGAACTGGATTTTGTGAATTTTTTAGAATATTCACACATTTAAACATTCTCAAATTTTATTATTTAATGTCTGTAAAGATTTAAGATTGCGAGACTTATTTATTTTTAATAAGTAGAACTATGTAAGTTATATTTAAAATATTCTCTTTTAGTTTACATCATAGATTTATCATAGTTATAACTGTGCGAGATCAGATTATGTCAAAATTAAAATTTCTCGTATTTAAGTACCACATAAAAATTAATATAAAAATATTTGCTTGAGAAACAAGACATATTAAAAGCTTCAGTTTAAGAAAATATTTTCTTCTGATGCTATGAAAATGGATATAAAGTATGACTTTCAAGAAATAATAATAATTATCTAGTAATGCTGCTATTCAATGCGAGAGAAAAAAATAACATATCATTTTAATTAGAAGATACTTATGTATGTATGTCACAAATATTTAAAAAAGACAGGAAAATCAAATCCTAGGTAGAATGTTAGAAAAATAGAATATTGATAAAAACATTTAAAGAAATAAAAAATTAACTTAAAAACTTTTCAAGGCTAATGCTTACGAAAAAAAAAATCACAAAAAGTGGTTTTATAATTAAAACTTTAGATAGTTTTTTTTATATGTTGTCAAAATTTAATTTTTATGTTCAAATACACATCGTTAGATAGAAAATATTAATTTGATGGATTAGACTGTTAAAAGGAAAGAAAACATTAATTTAGAAAAAATCGTTCTAAATTTTTCTTATTTATTTGACAGTAATATAATATTCAGAATCTTTTTTGTATGTCATCAAGTGAATTCAAATATGAATAAAAAAAATTCAAATTACTGTCTAAATAAATTGAAAATTGCACACTATGTGATATATTAAAATAACAAAAACAAATTGATGCCATGAGTTCTCTTACAAGAAAGCATATAAAATATTAATAAATATAGTTTCAAGTGAGATTAACGTGGTTAAATTGCGCAATGTATGTAAATGTTGAAAAATATAATTATCTATCAATCTTGAATCATTTAACATACTTACCTAATTATAATTATTTTTTCATTTCTCAAAAATGTCAAAAAATAAACTAGAAATAAAGAAGAAACATTGAATCTTCAGCAATAATAATTATTTTTTCTCAAACCAAACTTTTGTAATTTACTCATATTTAATTGATGCTTCCACTTTTTTGCTTCGTTTTCACAATATAAACATCTTAAAATTATGCAATAGATATCAATTTCAGTTTCAGATCGGTTTTCACAGTTATCTACATATCTAGATAATTTCTGGTGTCAATATTTCAAACTGTTTTCTTATTCCTGTTGCTGCATCTTTCTACCTAGGTAGTTTTAACGATAAACAAGTTTTTGAAAGTGAGTAAAACGGACAAAATGAGAAATATTCAAAATGAAGTAAGTAGGTAATTATTAACCGATCTAGAAATTTTTGATCCACCCAATCAATAACATATTTGCAGTTTTAAGTTTTAAAAATATTTTAAAATCTTAAATAAATTATGCTATTTGTAATCGGACTTGGACTAGGTGATGTTACTGATATCACCGTTAAGGGTTTAGAACTAGTGAGGAGCTGTAACATAATATATTTAGAATCTTATACTTCAATATTACCATGTGGAATAGAGGAAATGGTGAATTATCATTAATTGTCCTTTTTCCTATTAGATGTAATTAATCAAATAACTACATATTTATTCTAGGAAAAATTTTACGGAAAAGCGATAGTAATAGCTGATCGGGAATTTATTGAACAAAGAGCTGATGAAATGTTATCTCAAGCCAAACATTTAAACGTTGCATTTCTGGTCGTAGGAGATCCTTTCGGCGCAACAACTCATACTGATTTGATAATGCGAGCCAAAGATAAAGAGGTCAATGTTAAAATTGTTCATAATTCATCTATCATGAGTGCTGTTGGTTGTTGTGGACTTCAACTTTACCATTTCGGTGAAACAGTTTCTATTCCATTTTGGAGTGAAACTTGGAAGCCTGATAGTTTCTATGATAAGATTAAAAGAAATCGACAAAATGGATTACATACGTTATGTCTCTTGGACATTAAAGTCAAAGAACCAACCATAGAATCCTTAACAAAAAAAACTCTTGAGTATCTTCCCCCAAAATTTATGAGTGTTACCGATGCGGCAGATCAACTTCTGAGTATTATAAGAGATAAGGTTGAATCTGGAGAAGCCGATTTAGCTTTTAATGAAAACACACTTTTCGTAGGTCTTGCTAGAGTTGGACATGACAGTCAGAAAATCAGAGCATGTTCCTTGATCAAAATGAAGGAATGTGATCTGGGTTCTCCACTTCATTCACTCGTTCTGCCAGCGGAAAACCTTCATCCTATAGAGAAAGAATATTTACAGCAATTCTCTGAAAACCAGCTGTGATATATCAATAAATTTTTCGTACAATGCATTGTTAAAAACATAAATATATTTTTTTATTCTAAATGATTACTTGACAGAAGATTTTGTAAGACTTTTTACAGCAATTCTATATTTTTGTGACCTTTTTCACCTGTTCTTTTTTACATCAATAAAATATACCTAAAATATGTAAATAACCTCAATTCAGATAAAGTAAAAAATTTAACCGGTTCACATGCATACTTTTGTTTACGAACAAGTAGAAACAATATTTTCTTAAAATTTTTGTGATTCAGTCAAATTATTATTAAATTAGGTACTACCTAAATATTTAAAAAACTTCTTTGATTTATTTGTTTAAACCAGAATAGTGATTATGAGTGCTGAAGAAAATATATCACAGATTAATGAAAGAATTAAAAATATTGACACAGAAATAGAACGCTTGTCAGTCCTAAAAAGGAAATTAAACATTGCAAAAGAAAAACTACAAGATAGAAAGTATCTTGAACAGAGTAATCATTTAGCCAGTAATGATTGGAGCCAGGGTTAGTTAATTGAATAGAAAACACTTATATTTGTAAATTTTTTTTTTTCAAAAATTTCACATCATAAAGAAAACTACCCATGGTCCAATAAAATAAGGGAAAACTTGCAGAGCGTATTTAAGATACAAACATTTCGAAGTCAACAGTTAGAGACGATAAATGTAACTATGAGCAAAATTGATGTTATTCTCGTTGCGCCAACGGGGTGTGGAAAATCTTTGTGCTTTCAACTTCCAGCCATCACTGAAGCGGGTGTGACACTTGTCGTTTCTCCTCTAATATCTTTAATGGGTGAAAATCTTTTGACATTTAATATTAGATTTAATGTTATTAAATATTCTATCAAAATTTTCAGAAGATCAACTACATGGATTACGAAAAAAAGGAATTTCAGCTGAATTGTTATCAATGTCAACAGATTCTGAAACTGTAAATCGAATTCATAGATTCCTGAACGACGCTGATCTTTCAAATAAACTGAAATTACTCTACGTGACACCCGAAAGAATGGCAAAATCGAAAAGATTGATGAGTGCTCTTCAAAAATGTTATCAAAAAGAAATGTTAGAACGAATTGCTATTGATGAAGTACATTGTTGTTCTATTCTCGGACACGATTTTCGACCAGATTACAAGTATCTCGGTACTCTAAAGAGTCTCTTTCCAAAAATTCCAATTATAGGAGTTACAGCTACTGCATCGCGAAGAGTTATTATCGATGTCCAGAAAATGCTTAACATTCGAGGATGTCTTGTCTTAAATGCTCCATTTAACAGACCAAATTTGTTCTATGGAGTTATTGAAAAACCTAACGAAAATGATGCTGTTTATGATCTTCTTTCAAATTTGTTAAAAATTCGATATAAAAACAAGTCTGGAATAATTTACACATTTTCAATTAAGGATACGGAAACACTTGTAAGTGAATTACTCCAAAGAGATTGTAAGGTCAGAGCATATCATGCATCTTTGGAAGCGAATCAAAGATCCAAGGTTTATCAAAAATGGATGATGAATGAAATTCAAGCCGTTGTTGCCACAATTGCTTTTGGTCTTGGAATTGATAAACCAGATGTTAGATTTGTTATTCATCATGTTATGTCAAAATCCATAGAAAACTTTTATCAGGAAACAGGAAGATGTGGTCGTGACGGAAAATATGCTGAGAGCGTACTCTTGTATAAACTTGGTGATATTTTCAAAATTTCAACGATGACTTTTGTAGAAACAAACGGTTTGCAAAACGCTTATTCTATGGTTGGATATTGTATCAATGGCAAAAACTGTCGTCGTGATATTTTCTCGAAGTTCTTTACTGAGGTTTGGAGTGACAAAAATTGTGGAAAAATGTGCGATCACTGTTCTTTCAATAGTCGGAGTCGAAAAATTATGCCGCCTGTAACAAACATCACAAGCCATTATCGAACTCTGTTGAGAATAATTGAAAACGCAAGAGGAATGGATATTAAGCTAACTGCACTTAAGCTTGTTGATGCTTGGTTCCATAAAGGACCTACTAAACTGCGACTAGAAATTTCCCCACCCGCTATTGATCGCAATTTAGGCGAGCAAATTGTGGCATTTCTAATTATAAATCACTTTTTAGAAGAAGATTTTCATTATACCGCTTATAATACGATTAGTTACATTAAAAAAGGTTCAAAATCAACACAAGATGAAATTGATTATCAACCTTCGAGAATTTGTGAATTACCACTGGTTACAGAACTTGAAGATATCTTTAATGCTTCTCACTCAAGATCTTATGATGAAGAGCCTGAAAGTCATCTGAGTCATGCTACAAAGAAACAACGAATATTTATCGACGATACAGACAGTTTGAATGACAGCTTCATAAATAATTTACTAAAAGATGCTGAAATGAAAAAGCTTATCGATGAAAGAATCGATCTGAAAGTGCAAAAACTGTTAACAGCGAATGATAGAGAAAAGCAAAAACCTAATGAAAAATCTTTAAATGCTTTGACTGATCAATTAGATTCAGATCATGATGATGTTATCGAAGTTATTCCTAAAGTAAAACCTGAAGTCATTGAAATTGATTAATACGAATTATAATTTTAATAAATTTTCTGGATTTTATAAAGAAAACAAATTTAATTCTAGATGATTGCTGACTTCATAATGCTTCTCATTTTTTAAAATAAATTTTTCGTTGAGCTCCCTCAAAAAAAAGGAGTATGTTTAACAAATTATGGTATGTTCAATAAATAAGAGTAAATTCAATAAACTTAGGGGGTGAACAATCAGACATGAACACCCTTTCATTTTTCTTCAGAAATCCAAGGTTTTAGAAAAAATGTAATAATTTAATGTTCATCTAAATATCGAAGTTAAATTTCATCAATTAATGAGGTTAATAGTTTTCCAAATATTTAAATATTCATTTGAAATCCAATAATTTGAAAATCTAGTGTACAAATAAAAATAAAAATCATGGAGGACAGAAAAATCAAGAAAAACGAAATAAATATTCTAATCAGCTTACTAAATTTAAAAAATCAATAAAAAGTATCGGAAAACCTGGTGAAAAACTATGCGTTTGTTTAGTGCTTGCCTCCCAAAATGTACTTTTGTATTTAAAAGTTCATAGGTAGAGTATATTTCATAGTACAGTTGTGAAATTAATTCGGTGAAGGAGAGATGAAATTTATTTCAGTGGTTTCAAACTACGATTTTATGAAAACTCAGAAAATAAGAGAGAAAAAATCATCTTATTACAAAAATCCATTACAATATTATAATTTAATTTAAGGGTGATATACAAAAAAGTTCATTTAAGTATTGTCAATCCATTACTATTAGCCTTAAGTTAATTTTAAATCCTTCAAGATGCATTGAAAAATGGTTGACAAAGGACTAATAAGTAAATGACGTAATTGTTTTTACTAATATAAGTGTTTTCATTCGGAAATTTATTAAGTAGTGTTTTACAAATTATATTAAATAATTAACAATACAGTTAAAAATTTAGTGGTCCCTATCACTCAATCATTTAATTATAATTTAAAGAAAAACAATATGAGTCATCATTCTTCATTATATAGAAAAAAAATGAGTAAATGTAATTTCATTTTATTGTATTTGATTATGATAAATTTGTGAATTGCTTTTAAATATTTTCTATACTTTTGTTGCATGAATAAAATTGTTTATTTGAAGTCATCACGAATAATTTTCCGCAAGTAAAAGAAGCGTAGGAAATAAATATGCTATGGAGAAAGTGAAAAGAATAAATTGTGAGTTACACCTCAAAACAATTTCTAACAAGAACAAAAGTGTACAAGTGAAGATATAACAGTCCATATAATGCAATCATTGAAAATCAAATTTGATAAGAACATATAATTAACCTAAAGTAGTCGACTATTGGATCTAAAAAATAATAAAAAGAGAAAAAAATCGATAACATTAATTAGATAAAAAGGAAGAGACAAACCTAATAAACTTTTCAAAAGAAAAACCTATACCGAGATGTCCCGACAAGCAACAAGGTAATAATTCATATCAGAAATCTTCTAGTGACAAGATATGACATGAAAAATATTCATACTACATGGAAAAGTCCGAATAATTAGAAATAAAGGATCTATAAAGATATAAAAAAATTCATTGTCTTAAGAAAATTAATAAAATTCTCTTAAATTTTCCTAATTTTAAATTACTTGGATAGTCCCAGTCATTTTTCAGTTACTTTAAAAAATACTAAGTATGCTCCATGAAAATCATATTCATATCTTCTCAAGTTTTAGACATCTGTATTATAATAGTGACTAGATCATATTTATATTCATTTAAATAACTTTTAGTGGAGGTGCAAGCGGTTCTGGCGTTGCTCCAACAGGAGTAAGTGCTCAACGTGGTGGTCCTTCGAATATGTATTCTGCACGTCATTCTGTCAGTTCGTCGAGCGGTGTTCTTATGGTAGGACCAAACTTTCGTGTTGGAAAAAAAATTGGATGTGGAAACTTTGGCGAGTTACGTTTAGGTGAGTTTAATTTTTTCAATATAATATGCTTTTTATTTTATTCATCTATTTATCAAACATTTTCAACAATTCAATTTTAATCTTTAATCGCTTTATAATAAATGTAAATCGAAACTGTAGAGATTTCATAATGTAACTTTGTAAACATGGTATTGAGGAATATAAGCTCGATTTTTTTCTTCTTGTTAGTTAATTTTATGTCATTTAATATTTTGCCATTAAATTTCTTCCTGACAAAATTTATGGATGCTTTTAGATTTAACATTTGATATTGTTGACTTTTAAAAGTTTTAGCAAAGAAAAATAATGTTCTCCTATTGAGTTTTTAATATATACTTTACTTTATTATATAATGCAATTTGCTTAATTAAAATAAAGATTAAGATGTTATTATTCATTCAAAAATAGTCACTTAATAATCAATGATTTGTAATTTTAAGTATTTATGGCAATTTCTCCGTAAATTTAATGAAAAATTTTCATGCTTTTATTAAATTGACTCGTTTGAAAAATGTGTTGAAATCTTTCATTTCTGTTCAAAGCTCTTCTGGTTGGATCAAATTTAATCGTTTTTCTTAGTTTCGATATTTATTTATATTTTATTGATGGTCTTTAATAAACTACAAATGAATTGATTGATTGATTGATTGATTTATCTTTATTTACCACTTTGGTACTTATTTTCTTTTCATATAAATTTTTGTTAATTAGATATGAGATATACTCGTCTCATGCTCGAGGTTAATTTAAAAAATATTTTCTTTAACAAAGTTGATCATTTCGTTTCTAATTGTGAATCTCGAACATGATAAAACATCTTTCTTATGGTTTTTCTTAACGTAGCTCTTAAATTCGTTGTATTTGTTAAGCCCTTTGAAGAAAAGTGAGTTCTGGCCATTTTCAGTCCTATACTGAGGCAATTGGTAATTGGTTTGACTTCTAAGGTTGAGTTTTATCGCTTCACTTTTCGTCGTCAATCTATTGTTCAAATAGTTTGGCATACTTCCTTCTTCTATTCTGTGAATAAACTTAAGTGTGTTAAAATATATTCTTTGCCTTACTGTCATCCACTGAAGCATATCAATCATGGATTTGATGGGCGTTCTATTACCTAATTTTAGGATAAGTCTCATGCATCTATTTTGTATTTTTTGTAGGACATTGATTTGAGTTTCGTTAAAGAGAAATAAAATTGTGGAGCAGTAATCAATATGGGGAGAAATTAATGATTTATAGAAGAGGATTTTGCTTTCACAATTCAACTTTTTATCAGATCTTTTTAATAAATAAAATTTTTTAATCATTTGTTTGTGAATGAAATCACTGTGATCATTCCAATTTAAATGTTGATCTATGATTACGCCTAAAAATTTTATGCTTTTCACAATTTCAATAGGTTTGTTGTCAATTATGATGTCATTAGATATTGATATTTTACTTTTTGATTTAGTTATGATCATCGCTTTAGTTTTGTCAACATTTAAGCATAATTTGTTTGCGCAGAGCCATAACGAAATTGTTTTTAATTCTTCATTCAATATGAATTCTTAATTCACGTTTGATGGTTTTAAAAGTTAATTAAAAATTCTGCTTTTTATCACCTAAAGATCCTTAAGAGTATAATACCATAAATAGTAATAAAAATAATGCATTATTTTCTATGAATGACAAAACAAAATTTATGAAAAATCATTGAAAACATATTTTTCAAATATATAAAACTCTCAACCTGTAAGATGGTGATTTACGGATGGTTCTTGACATCAAATATTAGAACTGCAAAAATACATATCTTTAAGTTGCCGACGAAACCTCTTTGCAACCATACATTCCTTCCAAATTACCACTGGAACCTGTAGCTAATGCACTTAGTAAAAATGTGAAAACATATTTGTTCGAAAAGAATTGTGAATTGCGGAACTGCAGAGAAAAACGCTTTCGCAAAGAAAAATGAGGAAACCTGTTTATTTCTCTTCAAGAAGTCAAACAGGAATCGTGAAAGAAAGTTAAATCTTATAGCAAAATAATCAGTTGTCTCCCAATCGTTGATCGAACACAAAGCAAATAAAATGAATGAATTGAGTGATCTTCCGGAAAATCGTTATACAAAAATTTTAGATCGCGCATTTCACATTAAAAATAATTTTATTGACGCGGGTCATGGATGTATTTTGCCTAAACGATATCGAGATATAAGCGAGCAAATTAAAAACTTCGATATTCGCACTGATGATGTTTTTCTTTGCTCCTTTCCTCGGAGTGGATCGACATGGTTACAGGAAATTTTATGGTTGCTGGGAAATAATTTAGATTTTTCAAAAGCAAGAGTTATTATTCAACAAGTAAGAAATCCAACATTGGAACTATCAGCGCTTTTTTCTGACGACAAAAATAAAGCTGATTGGATTAAGTGAGACACATAAGTTTTTGTTATTATTCAATTTAATAGCTTAAATTATTGAACAGAGATACAATGAAAGGAAATTCGGTTGAGTTTGCACATTCGATGACAAGTCAACGTTTCTTAAAAACTCATTTGCCTTGGCACCTTCTGCCTGACAAACTGAAGCGTGAAAATTCAGCAAAAATCATCTACACGACACGTAATCCGAAGGATCAAATAGTTTCTTTCTATCATTATTGTTTGTTGGCTCATCAAATGGATTGTTCATTTGAGGACTTCATTGATTTATGTCTTGAAGACAAAATTGTTTACGGATCACCACTAAAACATATGTTACCATTTTATGATCGCCGTAATCAACAAAATATTTTGTTTATAAAATATGAGGATATGAAAAAGGATCTTCCCGCAATCATTCGACAATGCGCTAAACATCTTGAAATAAAGCGTGAACTTACAAACAGAGATATTGAAGAAATTTGTGACTATGTAAAATTTGAGAAAATGGAGAAAAACTCCAGTGTGAATTTAGAAACGATAGTGTTTAGAGATCAAGAGTTTAAAACAAATATTGATAGCGAACAATATAATAAAGTAAAGTTTATTCGAAAAGGTTGCGTTGGTGATTGGCAGAATTACTTTACCTCCGAAATAAATGAAAAATTTGATAAATGGATAGAGGAACAACTCAAATCCTCCGACATGACTTTTGATTATGTTTAATTTAAACTTTCTTTAGTTCAATTTAAAATGAATGAATATTTTATCTCGTACATTTACTAAATACTTGCATATTATGGGAATGGTTTTTGTCGTTTGTATTTTATTAAATGTATAATAAATAAAATTTCATTTAAATATCATTTAAAGCATCAAAATGAAGCTCGTCAATTTTATTGAAAGTACTGAAATGAAAATGTGTGTCTCGTACATACAAGAAAAAAATACTCGTATTTTCTTCTCGCTTTTTTATATCTAATCTTTTTTTGACGTATATTTCGTTAAGAGAATAAGATAATTAAAATATAAGATTTTTCTATTCCCTTTAACAGTTTTTTGTAAATGAAAGTTACTAATTCTGAGATATCTAATGTAAACATTGTAATCAAAATTAAAGTTGACATAGATTTAAAAGCGAATTATTATGATTATTATTATCTATTTGAAATAAAACATGCTTAAAACGTTAAAATCATTATATTTTGAATTCACTTTCTACTAGGTAAAAACTTGTATAATAATGAACACGTAGCAATAAAAATGGAGCCGATGAAATCAAAAGCACCTCAATTACATTTGGAATACCGATTTTATAAACTTTTGGGATCACATGGTAATTGCTAAATCCTGCTTCTATATATACATATATATACATATACTATTTTTCTTTTTATGAGATTAGAAGGAATCCCTGTAATCTATTATTTTGGCCCGTGTGGAAAATATAATGCACTTGTCATGGAATTACTTGGCCCATCACTTGAAGATTTGTTTGACTTATGTGGAAGACGATTTGCGTTGAAAACTGTTATTATGATAGCAATACAATTAGTAAGTATCGCAATCTATTGAAAAAATCATGAAAAAATATTGTCATTATTGAAATTGTTTTCTAATAGCTTCACAGAATTGAGTACGTGCATAGTCGGCATTTAATTTATAGAGATGTCAAACCAGAGAATTTTTTAATTGGAAGAAGTTCAAATAAACGTGATAAAATTATACATATAATAGGTAAATAGTTCAACTCAAATTCATCATATAAGCAATGTCAAAACATATCAATCTCTCTTCTCTCCAAAGATTTTGGTCTCGCCAAAGAATACATTGATTTAGATACTAACAAACATATTCCATATCGGGAACACAAATCATTAACGGGAACAGCTAGATACATGTCAATAAACACTCATATGGGTAAAGAGCAATCCCGTCGTGATGATCTAGAAGCACTGGGACATATGTTTATGTACTTCCTTCGTGGTTCTTTACCCTGGCAAGGATTAAAAGCTGATACATTGAAAGAACGTTATCAAAAAATTGGTGAAACAAAAAGAGCAACCCCAATTGAAGTAAGTTTCCTAAAATTATGTTGTTTGGAATATTTGATATTTTTAATCCATTTATTTATTCTTATTAAAAGGTATTATGTGAAAACCATCCTGAAGAATTTGCTACTTATTTGAGATATGTGCGACGTTTGGATTTCTTTGAAACACCCGACTACGATTACCTACGAAAAATCTTTCAAGATCTTTATGAACGGAAAGGCTATGCAGACGATGGTGAATTTGATTGGACGGGTAAAGCTATGGTAAATCATTTTTATTCATTATATAATTCATTTTAAAAAAATACCAACTAAAGTTGCATATATATGTAAAAGTGGCAGAAGCTTTAAAATATTGAATCATAATTGACACTTATTTTCAATTTCAAACAAAATTAAAAAAATATATAAAATTTAGCCGAGGAATTTCGAAGCTTTAAAAGTATTAAGAAATGCGCCGCCAAGCAATATTTTAAGAACAAAATCACAAAAGGTGATCAATTTTTTTATCTATAAAGGTGATGCTTTGTTATTAGTAATATTGGCTAAGCTTGATAAATATAATACCCATTTCAGTGCCACTTGAATATAAATAGCCGGATAGTTTTTTCTACTTGAATTTTTGATAATAATTTATTATGATAAATTCAAGAAAATATTTTTGTAGCATTAAAATTTTTTAAGCTTATCAGAAATGAATTTTTTTTTAATTTCATTGATGAATAACTGGAGAAGTAAATTTTTATATCCAATTAACTTAAAAAATTTCGATCCTAAATTATCTCTTTATTTTTATTATATTTCATTAAGATTTGATCTGTTCAGCGTTAATAGCTAATATCCTTGTGTCAAATTAGATAATTCATAATCAATTAGTTCTCTGGAATAGTATTGCTTTTTCAATTATTTATTTTCATATTGAAGTTATTTATTGAAATTTCTCTTTCAAAATATAGTCAACACCTGTGGGATCATTACAAACAGGACATGAGATTGTTGTGTCACCAAATCGTGACAAACATAATCCAACTAAGGTAAAAATATATTTAATTTCTTAATAATAATATATACATACAAACTTAATCGAATTGAATTGCATAGATTTCGGTTAATTTCTATTGACTTTATATAGATTTTTATAAGTATTTGTGCAATACAGAAAGAATCGGCAAAATCATTATTTGATCACTAAAAATTTTTAAATTGAATCATTGTAAAAATATGAAAATTAATTCTTTGTTAAAAGGATGTTATGCCTTCCTTGAATATTTTATGACCTTTCTTTTTGTACATCTCATGCTTTTGCCTGACTGAAAATCTACTTTTAACATTAAAGTTTTGTATTTTCATTAATGGAATGTTCAAAAAGAAAAATTTGCACTGCTGATTTTATATCAAATTGTTGATTTTTTAATAACAAAGGATGGAGAATTTTTTGATTACGAGGATGAAAATTTTGAGATGACAGATGGCATGTATATGAATGAGGTTGGCATGAAATATTTTTATCATTTTTTGCTAACGGAAAAACATAGCGAGAAGTTATTTAGTTGGTCTTTCTACTCAGAAGGAAGTTTAGATAAATGCACCATTAGCTTTGGAGCAGCATAATTTTGTCCAGATTCCTTTTTCTCTCATACGTGGTAGATCGTTTCAATGTTGAGTATAAATTAGATATTTGATATATAATAAACATAAAAACATCATTGATCTTATTTGCTACTGTCGTCGGAAGTAGTTTTGTAATTTTTGTATTGAAACAAGTACTGAAAATACATCTTCCCTTTTCTTAAATATTTATTAAGAAGTTTTAAAAACTATTGCAATTTTTGATATCTTTATAATGAGGAAGTTTACTTGTCTTTCACATATATATAATAGTTTTGAAATGTAAAGCTTGTGAATATGGAATTATAGGGCTACAAATTATGATCTTTTGATGATGTTGTACCTAACTAGTTAAAAACTGTTCATACTTTTACGATTTTCCCAAAAATCTCAGGGCCTGGCAGTCCGGACTGAGAGACTGCCATCCTCATAGCATATCCTATACAGGTAGTTTAGAACTGCCTTTACTTTTTCCCTCTCCGGACTGGCAGAAAGTGCCCATCATAAATTACGCTAAAAGATTGAACACACTTATTATTGAATATCCGAAGGTTATACTCATTTTAAACGATCTCAATTAACAGTGAAAAGAAATCAAGAATAAGCAAGATTTGTAGATGTATATAAAATGTATTTTAGATTTTGGAAAGCTTTCTCAAATATCTAATTGTGATCATTTAAGTTATTTTTAAATTATAAATAGATTTTTCAATGCAGAAATATTAATCTTTTATCTTGAAATAATGCTTGGCCACATATAGAAAAATGCTCTCAAATATCACGTACTTGCGTGGCCTCTTGTACAAATTTAATCTCAAATAATCAACTCAATGTAAGAAGATTCTTTTAAAATTATTTTAAGGTTTGAATTCAAAATTTATACATATTCTGAAATTCAAAAGTTAAGAAACAAACTTACATAGTCGCTTACGTTTCGATTACATTTTTTTATCATTCCTTTTGATCAATCTCAATTTCATACATTATCACACCGTAATGTATACACATCTGTATAACTGCATCGGTTGGGAACGCAAAAATTCATAAAATAACGTCTCACTGAAACCTGTAACATTTTCAAACCCTTGAAATAAAAATAGACAAGTAAAGGAGGTGGCGTAGCCGCATGGCCAGATTTACCCAAGCAAGGGAATTTGGGTAATCTTACACCTGCTGATAGACATGGATCTGTGCAGGTACGTTAATATGACTTACGAATAAGTCATACCTTAAGATTTCTATATAATTTGAAACATACAACCTTAATTAATTTATTGAATGGTCAATTTTAAATACATTTTATTTGAATTTCTTAATCTTCTATCTAATCATTCAGATTAAGTTTTACTATGATTAGATAACATCAGGGCAATAAACAATTTTTTCTGTACATTTACAAATAATCATAATCAGAAAATCTGTTGGTTAAAAATTCAACATCCTAAAAGCGATTTTTCTATCTCAAAGATAATCGATAGCACTCAAATTGGCTACCTATATAACGAATGATTTTTGCTTGTAGTCGAGTATTTTTGAATTATTCGTTATCGTTTAAACATAAAGCTTTTCACATTATCATATAGACTTAAGAAATAAAAAAATTGTTCAACTATAATAAAAAGAAAAGTTTATGGAATAGTTTAAATTATAATCCCATAATCATAACTTTCACAATCATAAATACAGGTTCTACTAAAAATGTTAGATTCACTTCCATATTGAAATTTAAAATTGTTTGTTTTAGTTAAGAAGCTTATTTGAGATTATTTTTTGATTATTTTCTATAATACTTAGCATAAATATTAATAGACTGTTTAATTGGCTTAAAATAATATTTAACTGAAATTTGATTCCATTGATTTTTTTTTTTGATTTTTTTACAGGTGGTGAGCTCAACAAATGGAGAATTAAACGCCGATGATCCAACAGCTGGACATTCAAACACTCCAATAACTCAACAACCTGAGGTAGAAATGGTAGATGATACAAAGTAAGTTGAAAAAAAGAGGATTAGGATTTAAGAAAATATTTGACTAAGTATTGACTTTTTAATTTCTTTAAGATGCTGTTGCTTCTTTAAACGGAAAAAGAAAAAATCTTCCCGTCAAAAATGACTAGATTCACAGAAAGCTCCAGATCATGAGGTTGCTGTAACACTCTTGCGTGCAACATCGCACTCAAATTCTCGCGATTCGTGTATCAATCCGTGTGATTATATTCAAACATCACATCCAAATATTCGTTACACATCAGCCTCTGTCCTAACATCAACACCAACCAACAATACATCTACACTTCCTATATAAAGATCGGAAGAGCGTCGTGTAGGGAAAGAGTGTNCTTACGCGTAGCTTCGTTGTGAGTTGTCACTTGGAATCAGCTACATCAGTTATCAATGTCACGAATCGTTTTCATAATGCTGTATTAGTTTGAAATTGAATTTTTTTTTCAATTTTGAATCAAAGCACAGAATTTTATTATATTCAGAATTATATTCAAACATCACATCCAAATATTCGTTACACATCAGCCTCTGTCCTAACATCAACACCAACCAACAATACATCTACACTTCCTATATAATAATACGTGTCATTGACGTTTCTTTTTTTCCAAGAAGAAAATAATATCTACATATAAAAAATATTGTTAAAACAGCAAAAAAACGAATAAAAACGTTTCAATCTATGAAATACTTTTAGTTTTTAGAGCTATAAAGGCTCAGAAAACTTAATTGCATCCATTTTAAGAAATCATTAAAAGCCCAAAACAAAGCTATTTCTAATTTAAATGAATAAAAAACATTATTGTCCATCAACATTTTGATTTTTATATAAATTTTGTGAAGCTTCATATTTTCAATAAAAAAATTATGCTACATATTATTTATTTTAACTAAACTTTCTTGAAACTGCTACATATAATATCAGGTTCTTCTGAAGTTTTTGACTACAATTTTGAATGAAAAATCAACACATTCAGATCATTTTCTTAATGTGAAGGATACAACTTTTTTTCTGTTAAAAACTTATTGAAAAAGAAATAATTTGTATTCACCGCAAAAGAAAATCTTTTCATTATCCGCAGTAAATATCTGAAAATTTATTTAAATAAAATATTTGATCAAAAAATTGTATCTACTAAAGTGATCAAAAAATGTGTATTTATAGTAAATGGTCGAGGATTTTGTCGGACTGTCCGAAATAAAACTTAGCGACTAGTAACATCATCTCAGCTTAGACATTGCTATATGAAATAGTTATTAAAATATTTTCTACTTATAAGGAATGGATTTATATTTCCCTATAACTGGATAAAAAAAGCTTTTGTGTAAAAAACATTTGAAAACATAAGTTTAAAATCTTTGAAATATCAATACATTTATTCTGTCTATTTTTCGTTGTCATATTCTTACTTCGTCATTCAAATGCATTGGTTTCAAAGTAAACTTCAGTCAACAGGTTCAAAATTTATAAGAATTCTTTCTTTGATGCTAGGTAGTATGTAGTTTGAATTATTTTTATTTTTTTTAAACATTAAAAACAAGCATCATCAATTTAACTTTTTTACAAGATTTATACGTTTACAACATGAAATGAACTTTGTTATGGGCTGTTTTATTACACAATTCCCAAATTCTCCATTAAATTTAAGTTATGAAAATTTTTAAACAATCGCATTCTCAATTTTTTTTAAAAACATGCAAAAGCAAAACTTTAAAAAATTTTAGCTAGAATTGTTAAGTGTGAAAACAATGATGTCAGAAAAATGGCTTTTAAAGAGAATTGTGGCATAGTGATTTTAAAAACAATGTCATATGACCCGTTATACTCTTCTGATGAAATAAAATGAAAAAACTAAATTTTGCTGATACATTTTAAACTATCGAAATGTGCAACATTTCAATCCTTTAATTCTCGAAAATTTTTATTATATTTCAGCTTTGAAGTTTTTCAGTTTAATGCAAATAAAAATCAATTATGAAATGTATAAAGCTCGTAACAGAACCTACGTTTAACATTAACAAATATCTAGAATGACACAGGTTTGAATTTTTTTAAATTTATCAGCGATGTGAAAGAAAANAAATTTATTATTATACATATTGATATGATTTTACTGAGGGGTAGCATAAGAAGGTATCAAAACTGACTCTGAAAGCTCAAAGCATTATTTTAATAACCAAAAAACGAATTTGAAATTAAATTTGCTCACGGTTGCGTGCTTGTTAGGATTTTTACTCAATCATTAGAAAATGTTCTTTTTACCTCACAAAGTTTAACTACTTTAAGCTTTCGATGTCAATTTTTGTCTCCTTTAAACATTTTTATTTCACACTACCATCCTTGTAAAACTAACAAAAATCGATAACTTTTTGTAAATTTAATCATAAAAAATTTCATATTTATCAATTTTAAATTATTTTAATCTATCTTATCCGTTTCTTTTTAGTTAAAGAAATACAACAGGCTCTCAACATGTTTCATTGTTTATATTTCATAAATAATTCAACAATCAGAAAAAAAAACTTCAACATTTAATTCTTTGTTTCTGACCTTAATTGGTAAAATCGCGATCTTATTTTATAATATTAACTTCTGGATCAACTACATTAATATTTTTGTAAATAAGCAATTTCCTAGCTTTAGTGCTTTTATTATGCAAAAGCTAACAGTTTTGAAGGAAAGGAAACACACTTGCAATTATTAAAAACTTTTACTTTTCATGTACAAACTTTTGACTGTGACAAACTTGCTATTCTGCCTATTTTATGAGCACAGGAAAGCTATGGAGTCTTCCTTTCGATCTCTAACTTTTTTTAAAATGTTTGAATAATAAAACGAATATATAGGTAATTCTCATAATTAAATTTCAATTTTTTAAACTTGCTAATTGATTAATTAATTTTTTCACAAATTTTTTTTTTCGTTTCAATAAATTTTAAAATTTTCTGCAAATTATTTTAAGTTAACAATTTGGAGAAAAAAATTTCTATAAAAGTAATTAAGGTTGATCTCGAAATTTCTGGTTGCAAATATTTGAGAGTTTGAATACAATTTAGTTTGTTTATCTGTTCAAGAAGTGTTCGAAAACAACTTTTGTTAAATTGGAACTACAAAATAATGCAACGCAAGAAATTTAATCTTAATATTTTTAGAATAATCTTTTACAATTTCTATTACAATCAACTCTTGATAATAAATATTTGGAGAGACCGGAAATTTACATGATATATCGAGGGAATTTTGTTCTTTTTGAAAGCATTTCTTAAATAGAGTTGACTGTGTTTTATAACTTCTGGTTATTTTTTATTTCTGCAAATAAATTATTCATTAAACTGATGCAAGTTCGTCGTTCTTCCTTATAATTGAGAGTATTTTATATTTCTTGGGATATCCGAGCTTTTTCGTACGTCTATTTCAGTTCACTCAGTTGCTGCAGTTTTTAACATAAGCACAATAATGAAGATCTCTGATTATATTCAGGACCTTAATAACTTTCCAGCTCGCTTACTCGCGTCATCCAAACGATCATAATTATCTTCTCCCTAAATAAATACATAAAAATCATTCGGTTTTATTTCCAAAATCTATTCTAATAATAGTTATTGAATTTAGTTTTTTAAAAGTGTGGAAGTTCTTTTTTATATTTTCACATAAACACACTTAGAAAAAAAAAAGGAAATGATTTTAGACTTTTTTAGTTAGGTAAGTACATGGATAGAATCTTTATGTCATATAAATTTTTCGAACGTAGTTACTTTCAAAATTTCCTCATGCCAGTTTTAGCAAAATCTCAAGTTACCTAGTATTCTACTTATTAATTTAAAGTTAGTTTCAAAGCAATAATGGAATATATAGAAAGATATCTCTTTATTATATGCACTATTTGAATGAGTAAACCATGTTAGGAAATAAAAAAATAAAATATCTAAAACCAATAGATATAGATAATATTTGTTCACTCTGATAAGTTGAAGATATTTGTTGAATATATTAAACTTTTGTTATTCATTTTGTCTTTAACTTTTATTGCTTGATTGAAAGTTTGCGTAATACTTATTTGTTCAACAAATATTTGAATGTTAATGATTAGTGTTAAGGCTTTTGTAAAGAATCTTTGAAAGATATATTGATGAACTTGAAAAAAATACAGTTAGATCGAACATTCTTCGTACACCAGCGATTGTTGGTATTTTTCAAATTTGTTAGCTTATAAAAAAGAAACGAGAAAACCTGGAAAAATTATGTGAGTACTAAATAATCTTTAACTAAATCGCTGTCATTTTGTAGATTTATATTTTTGATTGATTTATTAGAAAGAAGTAGAAAAAAAAAATAAATAAATAAGTTTTTTTTAAAATATGAATTTAAGAACGCGTTGGTCCACTTTTTACTTTAATTACTTCCAATAATCGGCTAGGCATCGATTCGATGAGGTTTTTCGTTACATTTGGTTCGACTTGTCTACCTTCAATCATAAGCGTCACAAATTTATTTTTTTTCTCATTAGTTATGTATCCTTCTATTAATTCATTTCTACTTTTTTTTAATAAATCAAAAATGTAAATATACATAGGCACTGTGCCTTAGTTAAAGATCATTTTGTACTTACAATTTTTTTTTCAGTTCTTCTTGTTTCATTTTTGTAAGAAACCAATGTTGAAAAATATAAAGAGTGGCATACTTTTTCAAAAAAAAACACAATTAGTAAACGCAAAATTTTAGCCTTTAAAAGTCAATAAGGAAGAATTTTAAAACAGATAATTTTTTGAAGCTTCAGCTTCGTAGTAAAATTTTTCTTATTTCAATCATGTAGATACTAAGTTTTTTAATTATTAGCATTCAGCAAAATGTGTATGTAGACATGAAAAGATTTATAGCATTTTAATAGGAGATTCCCTGATACGTGAAAATCAGCTTATTTGAGCAAATCATGTGCTCTCTCGTTGGCTACTGCTATCCTCGTCTCGTTTGATTCTCCCTTTTGTTAATAACAGAAATTTTATAAGCAACAGTGAGAAAAGGTAAAGAAGAAAAAATGGAACATATTTTAGTAGGTATGCAATATTTCCAAATTAATAAGTTTTTTAGAAAAATAAAATAAATAGAATACAATTTCTATGATAACAAGTTTAATATTTGGAAAGATTAAAGGAGAAAACATAGAGTTGAATGATTCATATTTTAAAATCTTTCATAATTAGAATAAGTTTTCTAAACTTCTGGAAATTTATAAAAACTAAATTTTCAAAATAAATCTCTTAAACAAACTTATAAGCAAAAAATTAAAGTAGATACTTAAAACAATTAACGAGTAAAGAACCCGAAAACACTTTTATGCTTTTAACATAACAGTGTTACGTAAAAAACATTAAAGAGTTTTCGCGTTCCATACTCTTTATTTGTTTTAAGTATTATAACTTTAAGCGCCGAAAAATAAATTAAAATTAAAAAATAAAAGATGTAGTGTAAATAAAAACATTAAATTCGAGGAATTTAAAAGTAAAAAATGACAAATTGTGTACCTTGCGATTGATTCTATCAACTTGTCTATTTTGATTCTCAAGTTCTGATCCCATATCGAGTGCCATGTTACGAAGATTTCCGATCATGGTGTTGACTTGACCCATATTTTCTTCCATTTCATCCTCACGAGCATCATTTGTAATTCTAATTGAAGGAATTTTTTTTTAAATTTATTCAAATTATTCCAGAATTTTTATGTTTTACCGTCCGATGTAGCCAGCTTGCGGGCCTAGACCATTGCGATCATCCATAACTCGTTGAGGCTGATTATTCACAACTTTGCCATCGTCATTTCCTTTCCATGTACCGTCATCTTCTTTGAATGATGCGTTTCTAATTGAAAAATTGAGATATTCTATTTGAAAGAAAACTTTTTTACATGAAAATTTCAAAATTTACTTATTGCAGGGCAAAACGCAAATGCCACAACATTTTTCCATTCCGCTTAAATTTTTTTCAGCTTCACGCATGTCAGCATTTATTTGATCCATTCCTTCTTCAATTCGATCCAGTTGTTCTGTTCAGTATATCAATTTATATAAAATCTTTTCATCATTTTTCAGAGAATTAAATTGTTATGATAAACAAAGATTATGGAGTTAGATTTTAAAAACAAATAAATTATAATTTTTCAAAAGGACGTTAGGTTATCTGTGCTGACAATTGGATGATAATAATATAAACAAATTCACGCGATTACCAACCATAATGATAAAATATTTAAAATTCCTAAAATTCGTAAAATCTTCAAATATCATTTTACAGGAAGAATCGGGATTTTCTCATGAGTTTCTAGTTAAGTGAGGTGTTTGAAATGTTTACATCGTGAAATTGTAGTTTTGAATAAAAAAGCTTCTATAACCCAATTCTGCTTGCAAGTTTTCCTAACCCTTCAACTAATAAATAATAAATTTAGTCAGTTTAAAATAATTTTACAAAATATCCCGAAAGAGGAACTGATGTTTTTTGAACAAAACAAGAATCATATATGGGAAAAAAATGTAAAGAAAACAAACATTCCACATGCATTAGCTCTTAAATGACTCTTATTGGGATCAAAATTGACTGCGTAATAAAATGTAGCCGTCTGCAATAGAATGTGTAAACTTGCTCTTTATCATTTTCACGGGAAAATTTAATTATTATAAATTGACAAAAATAAAATCAAAAAAAAAATTATCATATGTAGATATCTACAAAAACATAACAATAAGTTTAAACCATTAGAACTTTATTCGGTCCTTAGGAACTATCTATTTGTAGATAATTCTATCATAAAGATAGTTATTTGTGTTGTTCATTTGTTTTTCATGTGAATGAATGTTTGAAACAAAATGAATTTTCAAGAATTGTAGGAATTTTTAAATTAAGACTGAGCGTGTTTTAAAATCAAGTTAAGGAAAAAAATATAAATAAATACGTTAAGGTTTCTATGGTAAATAAATACTCATTCTAAGACCTTGCATCCTTGATGCGACAGTCTTAAAATAATAAAAAAAAACAAACAAAAACACAATAAACATTGGAGAATATTATGGTTTGAAGAAAAATTAGAATTATTATTTTTAAGCTTACTCACATGTCAGTATAGTGTAAAATTCAATTAAAATTTCAAGCTTTACTTTCTGTTATGGTTAATTTATCGAGTATAAATCAAGTAGATGTGATAATTTTTTGTTGTGACACTGTTGTGGGTGATTGAATATTATTCATAGTAGTGATTCTGTGCCTTAATGCAAAGACAATTAGATTTCAAAATACATTTTAAAAAAACAGCAATATAACCCCCATCCACTAAAATTTTTAACAGAAAATTTATTGACGATTTATATTTTATTTTTTACTTATTATTCTATTTAGTGTGAGAGCAAAATTTTTCAATTATTTTTTGGAAATTTCGGATGTGGTTTATAATGCATCATCATACACATTTTTTTTTCTCGTTGTATAGTCATTCTATTTTTATTTTTTAAAGTAGGTATCTCCATCTTTAATACTTATTACAATTTTGAAACTGCGAGAATGAAGTGCTTTCCAAAAACTGCACATATTATGTTTTGAACGTAAAAGTTTTCTTTTATAAATATAAGACAACAAAATTTGAAGTATATAAATTAAATTTTATTTAAGTATCTGATCTCAATATCGCACAGTCACCAGCTTAAGAGTCCGAACGTATTTCTTAAGCATTTAAGAATGAGAAATATTTTATAGCTTCTAATCGCTCGTTTTTCTTACCTCCTTGCTCATCCAGCATAACGATTGTGCGCATCCCAACCTCAGTGCTCTAGACAAAAATATTTATTACATTTACAATATTTCTACAACGCGTTGAGAATTTAAATAAATCGTCTGCAACAAAATAATTTGTTTGCAGCTAATATTACTTTGCGTCAAAATTCACAAATCACTACCATAGTTTTATTTTTATTATTTATATCATAATTTCATTTCGCTTGCATTTCTGTTTTCAAATCGTTTGAAAATAAATATTGCTGTTAAACACGTAGATACGTTAAATATTTATAGATAGGAATCTTTATCCATTTATTAGTATAATAAGTAAGTTAATCTATCAATAATATAAATTTGCTCTATTGAAAATTGAAAAGCATTTCTTACCGCCTTGATCTTTCAAATTTACTAAAGTCTTGGCACCAATATCTTCACTCTAGAAATGAAATTTTTCCATACAAATGTAATAATTGCTAATTCTTCATTCAAACTTTTTAATATTTTTTCCGAAAGAGATAAAATAATTATAGGGTTAGGATAATCATAGGGATAAGATATTTATTTTTAAATATGCAATCATTAATCTAAACATAACATTTAATATGTACATCAATTTTCTTCCTTTATAAAAAGCATATTTTAAACCGTTCTTTATTAAAAATGAAAGGATAAGTTTATAGTAAAATAAAAATTCATAACTCAAAACCATTCGCATAAAGAAATGTAAGATTTCCTCGATTATTATTATTGTAAAAGCAATTAAGGTATTCATCATCATCGTTAGATCAAGAACAGGCCCATATAGGAACCACCACCTAATGCAGAAGCATATGAGGGCAAGACTCATAGTGGCAAATGATAATGACAACATTACTCAATCAATTAAAGTATTAAAGAGAGATATTATTGAACTAAATATGGTTAAACATTTCTTTGATTTCAACATTATGAAAAATTAATAATTACAAAGAAAAAAATTTAAAAAAATAGAGCTTTTTGAGAAGTTACCATCCAAATGAAATAATGTATAGAACAGATTCTAAATGATTTTATGAAATTTCTAATAAACTAGATTGTAAAAAAACTAAAAAATAAACATATGCGAAACTTTGTGTATGCATTTAAATATATCTAGATGTAAAGTAAATAATATAATTTTATATGAACCCGTACAATGAATAAAAATCAGCTGCAATATATTTATAATAAAAGCTCAAGCCAAGCTCATCTTGCAAAAAAAAATCTAAATTATTTCTAAAGTATTTCTTGTTAATAACTACTGGTAAACTCTTTATCTGTTATTCATCTTGAGTAGAATGTTAATTTAAGATAATTTATTTTTCATTTTAAACAAAATGAGACAAACTATTCAAAGTAAACTGAGAATTAAGTTGATTCTTTTAAAGTTTTTTTAAGGTTTCATTCACATATTATTTTATCACATTATTTTAGGATTGAGAAAGAAAAGGCTATTTAAACACTTGGACTTATAAGCGAAAAAATATTGACTTCTTGTGTAGAAAGTAATCAAGTAAAACTCAAAAAAAGGAGGGAAAATAAAATCAATCTACTAAATCATACGTGATGGGATTGATGCTTTGTTTAAAGTATTTGACGATATTGATCTTACCTCCCTGATCGTCGAGGGCCACAAGAGTTCGAATGCCAGCTTCTTTGCTCTGATGTTATGCGGCAATTATAATAAATTAACGTCTTTTTAATTTTTTGTTCATAAAAGTAGTAAGTATATTAGTTTTGTGTAGCAGAAAATAAATTTTGACAGACTCATAATACTTAGATTAAATATTTAAGAAATTTTCAAGAAACCTAAGTTGTTTCAAACATCTCAACTTATATCAATTTTGCAATGTTAATGTAGCTTATGTTAGTGAATTTTAGGGAAATATTTTTGAAATATTATAAAGTTTTTTTTCTTCTAAAAGGATAATCTATTTAGGTATGTATTTCCAAATAAGTATTCCTATATGTTTTTTGTCACTTTTTAATTCAAACTTACGGATAAATTAATGTTTTGTCTCATTTTCAATGCGTATGTTGTATAATTAAAATGAAATAATGTGGATCTGTGTCTACAATTATGTTTTTATAATATTAAATTGTCGAATAGATTAGAAGTTGATTAAATTGTTTTTCACCAATATGCAAACATACCGACCCAGGCAATTATTTTTCAAAACAATAAGTACCAATTCTTATTTATTTGCTTCTTTGACATATCAAATCTATAAAGTTAATTAGGTTTTGAAAAAGAACAGAGCAGAACGAAGAGACGATTTTTTTTTTCATTTGTTTTACAAATTTATAGCATTTGCATATCAACATAACTAAACAATGAAAACATTTTTAACAAAGGCTCAGAATCGAACTGAATACTATTTAGTTAACCTATGACACACTTATTTTGTATCTATGCAAAATACTCTCGAATAGCACTTTTGAGTTTGCATTAAGTTTTTTATTTGTCTATTGATACATATTTTTATTTTCTAAATAAGAAATTAACAGGACATACAGAGAAAAACTATTTACTCACGCAGTGAAATAGTAGTCTGGCAATATTGCATATATATTTTGTCATAGATTCATGGATAGTAATAGATAGCAATATTTTTTTGATTTCTTTCATGTATTTAAAATAAAAAAAATTAAAATCATTATTGGTACTGGTGGGAATACAAAAGTATGGTATTATATGACCCTTTCTGTCTGTAGCCTTTTTAATAAGTATATGTTTTCAAAGTTTTATTCGAACGACATTTAATACGTGCATCATCAAAGTTAGTACATAGCTTAGCTATCTTTTATTTTAACCGAAAGTTATTTAAATCGAATTTGAATATAATTTGTCTCAAAATTTTAGAACTGTTAATAAGCATAATTGTGATTAAGAAATTTAAACATAATGTGTGAATATTTCCTTCAAAAGAAATAAATATAGTTGGAGTGAGATATATATGTATGTAGAAAATTGAAAGAGTAACGAGTAGAGAGAAGGAGAATTAACATATGTTTATAGTTTATGGGTATTATAGGTAAACAGTCTATTAAAAGGTTAAAATTTACAAAAAAAAAGAACCACAACAATGCTTAGTAAATAGATTTATAAGACTAAAGATATAATAATGACACATATAAGCGTTGAAATTTAATTATCATATTTTGTATGTTGTGTCATGATCGCATGATTCTTACAGTCAATTTCAAAATCACGTTTTGAGCGAAAAAGGGAATAAAAGAATCATAGGATAATGATTTGTAGCAGAACATAGATATCATTTCTCTGCATGCAACATCAACAAGCTCCACAGACATCTAAAGATTGAGAGTGTTATTCAATATTTTATCTTAATATTTCATAATGATGAGCTTTGTTTTCATTAGGTAATTTTTGTGTCAATGTTAATTTCTATTTTTATACTATAAATTAAAGCTCAATGTGTACAGACAATGGCTACAAGAGTAGAATAGATGAAATAGACAGATAGCAAAAATGAAGGAAATATAACAATCTGAGAAAGCATTCTCAATTGGAAAACAAATTATTAATAAACATTATTATCTATTACATCGATAGATTTTTTTAATAAGACATTTTTAATTCAATAATCTTCATTCAGTTCAAGATTATTTGGAAGTTTTATAGTTCATAAATGCAAATTTACAGCAGCGGCAAATTTTTTAATAATAATTTATCAGTCTTATATGGTTCTATACCGCTGCCCATAGCAGCAACATTTATTTCAGAGTTTAGTTTCATCTAATATCTAGTTATATTACTTAAATATTAATTTAGCTTAGACTGTTTTTTAGTATAAAATAGCAAATGCTTTTCTTTTTCAACATATTATTTTTGTTAAATAAAAGGGTGTTAAAAGTTTTCCACTCATTATTTGAAGATTATAAGGTATGGAAACATGATAACTATAAAATAAGCATGTTAAAAACTTGACAATTTTAAGGAATGTATATACGGCAAGTTGCTTTTTTATATGATTTCACTTGATTAGCTTTTTTTTTTCAAATATTTACCGATATTTCGCTTTTTTTCTTAAATTTGTCTTACGCATGATTTCTTCATTGCATTTCATAAAGCTTAAGCTAAAAAATCTCACCTCCTCGCAAAGAGCGAGCATTCGTCGTGTAGACTCCAAGGACTGAAAAATAATCAAATATTTGTTTCAGAATTTTGTAATAAATAAATGAATTAAGTTTAAAACTCACTTCATCAGTTTTCTCAGTCGCTTTAAGCTGCAATTCTTGTAATTCAGTCCTTGGTGGAGCTGGTTCCGCTGCTGGGGCAGGCATTCTTAGGAATAAGTTGATATATTTTCCATTAATATAGTTTATAAATCTTTTCACCAATAATTATTAGATATGCTCCCAAAGTAAAAAAAAAGTTTATTTACCTAAGTTTTTAAATGATTTAATTATTTAAGTCGTTTGCGTTTTAATATCGGACTTTTAATTTGGGATGATATAGGTATATAATGCTTTAATTAATTTTTTCAGACATTCATATTAAAAAATTTAATTTTTTTATGAATTCATCAACAAGGTTCTTGGACAATGCTTTAACACTGAACAAGTTCATTCACAACACTGAAGGATAAAATCAATACATGTTTCATATTGAATAAAAAAAAGGAGAGTGTGTAGGATAATTTTCAATAAACATTATTCCTTTTAGGTGGAGTTTGCGTATTATAACGCAGAAAATTACAAGTTTTGCTCAATAAGACAATTTTAAAAAACGCCATCAAAAAGTAGAAAATGATGCTTAAAATAATAAAAGTCACATAACTAAGAAAACATTTTCCAGTTTAAAAACAATTTCTCTTAGCGTAGAATTTATATTTCGACTAATTTCGTATCATCCCCGTTAAGTTTTTTTTTTTTCACATTATAATACAATTTTCTACTGAGCTTAAAGCTTAAAAAAGTGATGTCATTTATCATGGATGAAATAACATGAATGTTTATATTATTTCAAATCGAAAATATAGCATGAAAATTCACTAATAAAACATATTTAAATATGCTATTCTACTCAATTTAAAAAAAAGATGAATCAGAAAACTTGAAAAGTATTAAAATTTCTTTTTCAGTTAATTTGTTTCTTCTCAACTTTAATTTCACATAATTCTTACCTGTAAAAATGTGTTTTATTCTATCCGGTAGATCCTTTAACAATTAAAGATAAATCTGAAAGTAAATGACTTTAATTTAGTATTTCCTGCTTTTTGTTCGACTTTTATGACTAAACTTCAAATTTCTTTCTTTCCAGTGTGATCCATCAGCGTAACCCATAAATAAATAATTTATACAAGTTGTATAAAAGTTTCGAGCAGGACGCTATGTTATTGTGTAAATTAGATAAAATTACATATCAAACCTTGTATGGTTTGATATGTAATTTTAATTAATATTTTATTTAATAAAAAACAACTAGGATAATAACACTAAATACCTTTTTCTAGGATTCTCAATACTTTGTTGAAACTCCTAAAGCTCTAGTATAAGCTCTTTTTTTTCACTTGATCAAATGGTTAGAATTTCTAGTCAATTCTTGATTCCTGAGTGAAATACACTATAATATTTTACGGTTGTTTGAAATAATGGCGCTAGTAGCGAAATACAAAAAGTAAATAGTCGGTAAGAAAATTTGTAGACGTAAATATGTTTTACATACTCAGAAAGAATTCTCCGATAGAGAAATGCATAATTTATTTTATAAAATTTTCAGACAGTGCTTCAATAATTTATCTGATATTCATTCCTTGACAAAAGAAAACGTTTTAAGACATTATTAATGCCAACATATCCTAACTTCTTGATTGAAAAATTATCGAACAAGTTGTTAATTATATCGTTCATAAAGATACTTAAGATACATTTGAATAAATCAATAAACAATAAGCTTGGGTGTTGACAGGACTTTGATTACACTCTTATGAATTATAGAAAGCATACATTGATATAATGTTGATGTCTTAAACACGTTGAATTTCAAAAAGTTTCACATTTGTTTCATACCAAATAGCTGGATCAATATTCCTAAAAATGTGGTTTTTCTTAAAAAATTTAATTTTTCCAAATGGCATTATTTAATTACCTAAGGTATATGATCCCCCACATATAAGTTCGAAACCATGCACTTGTTCCATTGTTAGCTTGATATTTACGGATCAAAATTGGATGTGGAACAGGCAGTAACCCAACCAAAGTCCCATGTTGAAGAAATTTAAGTATTTCGCTTTCATCTGTCAGTCCCCTTTAAACACAAGATTGTTTTTTTAGCTAACATTAACATTAAAAAAATATTAGTAGACTTACTTATCTATGCAGATTTTTTCTACTTGTGGTACCAGTACCTGAAGAAGTCTCATTATTGTTTGCAAGGGCAATTTTGAACGCCAAGACTGCACCCATTCTGATGTTGGTAGCCATACTGTTGATTGAGCTGTGGGAGTTTGCGTAATCCTTATACTTCCTCTTGTATTAATAGTTCGCTTAAATTGAGAGGGAGTTTTTACAGGAGACACCGTATCGATAGCCAAATCCGTTTCACCGTTTGTGATATCATGTAATGAGGTTGGAGCCTTCGAAGTTGTAATGTTTTCAAGAAGTTGAGGATCTGGATGTGCTGATTCCTTCTCAGTCATTTGTCCAATGGCAGGTGTCTCTAAAAGAGTAGCCTTAAGAGTTCCTGGTTCTGCTGGAAGTGCCGGTCTAGAACCTTCCATTGACTCTTCTATAATTTCTTCTTTTTGGGCTTCATTTGCTATATCATCTGTAGCTTTCGATTCTTCAAAATTAACACTAGTACTTTCAGGTTTTGTAAAATCTTCTTCTATATCTTCTTCAATTTTTTCATCATCTGGTACGTAATCTGATTCATTATCAGCTTCTGTTTTCTTCATTAATTCGATCGTTCTTTGTAAACGACCACTCACTTTGCGACTACTTAAGCATTTGTTAATTGAACTTATATCGGATGGAATGTTTGCTAGAGCATGGAATGCTTGCCGCTTGCGAATGATTGTATATACTAAGTTTGAATTACCGTCAAATTGATACTGAATGATATTGTTGAATATTTCCAACAAAAAAAAGACTAAATGATGATTTGATGGTGAGGAATATAAGAACCAAGGAGTACTAAAAGCTTCCAGCAAATGAAGAAGTTTGATTGAAGCAACCATTGAGAGAGTCTTCAAATAAGGAGACACGTTTACAAGAATTGTAAGTAAACAGTCAAAAAGCGGCTGAAGCCTTTGATGACCAGTAGCAATAATTTTATGAAAAACTGTTATAAGTAAATCAGCATGTGTACCAGAAAAAACAGGAATATCCATGGGAACTGTCTGGAGTACAGAAATAGATACTTTAAAATATATACTAAACATTTTATCATATTATTGACTTACTGCTGTATATGGTTTATTTAAGCGCACTCCAAAATTTCGTTCACCTGATAATAGCAACAGAATGAAAACTCCAATATGCATCAATCCCACACGAGCTTAATTATTAAAATTTGAAAAGAATAATAATTGAATTTTTTGTATGTGTTGAAATATAATTTAGCATACATTGATCTGCTCTCGAATCATTCAAATGATAAAGTATAGGAACCAGGATGTCGAGGACGTCTGAACTCTTAAGCACGAAGTATAAAAATTTTTTGTTGTAATCGCAAATTTTCCAGAAAAATACAAGCAATTCCTGATGACAATGTAATCGTTTCGTAGAATTTGGTAAATAATTTTGAACAAGAGGATTATTCAAAAGTCTTGTAATGCCTTTTAATATGAAATGGAAATCCTCGTCACGATGAATTCTCGAAAGATAATTGATAAATAAATTATCAACGCCTTCTTCAGCAGCATGAAAAGAAGTAGAAATAGATGACGTGGGTGATGTGGGTGAGTTGCAGGAAATGTCGTGATCAAGTGTTACTATAAGAAGTTGTAAGCAAACTTCGACCAAAGGTTCTTGAAAATCTTGAAACAGTAAGTGGTTGTAAGGAACACCGAATGTCCCGACTGGATCGTAATTACAGACAGAATTTAGAAGGGAAGTAAACAAAGGTAAAGCATGACGATTCTCAGCACTTGTGAAATACTGAATCCATTTATTTGGAAGATTACTATTGATGTTTGGCAGCCAATACATGCTTTCACTTAGACATGTGAGCAATAACTTTAAAAGCTCACACCTTCTAGCTTCCATCTGAGCGTTTTTAGGCAGCGAGTGTGCAAACCCAACGCCTGCTTCCCATATGTATTCACAGCTATCAATGTTAATCAAATCTTCTGCTTTATCCGGTTCCACTTTACGGTTTACTGCTGTAACTGTGAAATCAGGACAAAATAAAAGATCCTGAAACATAATTCTATTCAGTGACAATTTTATATTTCGTTATAACTATATTAAGTATAACTCACGCAAACAGCATTAAGTAAACTTTGAGCCAAAGGAGTTGATTCTTCTTTGTCATTTCCTGATGGCAATGCAGACCAAAAAAAATCTCTCCATTCACTGTCTTCAAAGATATATGGTATTATTCGAGTAAGCAACCTCACACAATTCAAAACAATTTGCTGTTCTGCAGCGGTTCTGCAACTGCTATCAACAGCTTTCACTAATCTCTCGGTGGATTTATAGCAAAGTGTTGCAAGATTTTCGGGCTGTTCCTGTCTAAGTTTCCTAATTTCAGTTGATGTTACCAGAACAAAAACATCTTATAAAAAAATGAAATCCAAAAATGCAATTAAAAGATTTGAGTAAACATCTGGATAACTTGTAAAGTCACAAATTCATTTTCAAGAATTTCAATAAAAAAAATCTTTTTTACCTTGAACTGATGTTTGATGTTCAGTCCAAAATTGATCCCAAAATACATCTTCAGGTTTTATAGGCTACAAAGTAAAATATTTAATGAAATGAAAAATCAATTGGCAAATAAATAAAAAATCAATTATTGTGTGGGTAGAATTTCCTGTGTTAACCTGGTTCTTGTTTGCTAGCTGCACAATGGCTTTTCTAAAATTAAGTTTTGTGTCAGTATTTCCCATTGTCTTTGTCTAGAAAATTTAATTGATGAAGACTGTTTCAGTAAAATTTTCTTCAGAAACTTTTTCACGGAAAATGTTATTATTAATCAAAAGTGTAGTAGGGGTACTAGAATTGAGCCGGAGAATAGTCAGACTCAGATTGTTTTAAAAAAAAACTCGCCGTTATTATTTTTAAGTTGTTTTTGTTTTCTTTTTATTATTTATGTTGAAGAAATCACATCTTCTGTTATTCATCGTCAAAGTATTGGAAAATTTAATAAAATTTTAAAGTTCGTATAGGTAATTAGTTAGATATTGTAAGTGTTAGATTCCATCCCTCTAACTTTGAGCTGTTCATCTATCCAGTGTCTAAACCTGAAAAATATCAAAATGTCTTGAGTAGGATTTTAGGTATATCGTTAGGTGAGAAAACTAGGATTGCTAACATTCACTTAAGTTATAAAGTTCTTTTCATATGTATTCTGTTGGATGTTAAAATAATTATTCAAGAAGAAGACAAAAATGTTTGCAATCAATCTGTGAATATAATCATTTCAGTCAGTTCTTAAAAAGAACTTGAAAGAAGAATAAAAGTAAAAGATAGATATTTTGCAAATAGTTCAGACTCAAATATTTCTTCTTATCATATTTCTATGTATTACCTTGCAACATTCACCTGTATGTAAAGAAAAAAAATTAACTTTTTTAACGTATAAACTAATATAACGTAATAAACTCCTTACATAAACTCCAGGTGTTCCATTTTCACCACAACCTTTAAAAGACAATCGAATTACCTAAATGAGCTTAAGAGTATATAAAAAAGAATGACTTACCGATGCCCCAAGCAACAATACCAGCTTGGTAATAATGACCATCATGTCCATTAACTGGACAAACTAAAGGACTCCCACCATCACCATTGCAAGTATCTGAAAGAATTAAATGTATTCGATTTATTTTAATCAAGAGAAATTAATTTTACCTTTTCCCGGCTCGCCACCAGCACAAATAAAGCTGTGATGTAAGTTGAAACGTCTTCCTAGGCGAGTTTTTCTCAAGCTCTCTTCACAAGGAATATGTGGTACAATGGGTAGGTCGATCTTCTTAAGAATTACTTGATATTTCCCTTCTTTTCCAAAGACATCTTTTCCCCAACCACTTGCAAAACATCGACTACCATCAAATACAGTGTCTTGTGAGGGCAAACAAACAGTATTTATATGCTGTTCAAGTTGAACGGGATTTTTCAGGAATAATAACGCAATGTCATTATGCAATCCTCCTTTATAGTACTGCTGATGAATAATCAAATCTTGAACATCGTGATCAGTATGGGGGAAAAGTTCATTCTTTGTTTGTGTATCCCATTCACCGGCTCGAACTTTTAAAGCTGACGGTGTTTTTCCCTGTACGCAATGAGCAGCTGAAATTTATACATAAATGAAACGGTCAATATTTGAAGATAATTCAAATATCGTTGCCATTTATTTACCTGTTAACACAACCGACGGGTGGATGAGTGAACCTCCACATTGGTATACGTTTAAAACTTGTTCTGCAGCTATTTCTTCTTTAAGAATAGCGACCATCCAGGGAAATTCACCTGATTATAGGTATTTTAAAATCATTATTATATGTAGAGTGATATTTATATACAATAGTTATATTAACCGTATTCAGATTCTCCATCGCTGTTCCCTGTGATTCTAAATCCAACTCCTTCAGCGTTTCGAAAACCACACTGACTTTGAACTTGAACTGGAGTTTTTGGTGGTTGTGGCTGAGGTAGCACTTGTCCAACTGAACAACACTGCTCAAAATAATCAACACATTCTTGACCCTCTCCAAAACGAATATCAAGGAGATCTGATCCATCAGTATTAATTGTTCCATTTACGCAGAGATAGTATGGAACACATTCCCCTAAGCCACCGTTGCAAAGCTTTAACAAAATTAGAGCAAGTAAAATTAATCTGTTATTTATTTCGATAAACATAGTTATTATAATTGTCTATATGAATATGTTTTCCACCTTTTCATTAACAACATCTGTTAAGCTATTGTCAGTGGGCTCATTGCTTCCAAATACATCACCGATCAAATCATCTAAATTTCCCTTCTCTTGAGCGGATTGCGAGAATACACTTACAATAAAAGCAAGATGACAAAACTTCGCAAGCATTTTTTTCAAAACAATATTATCTGAAAAGAAATTTTAAAAAAATATGCAAAAGATGACAGAGAACAAACACACAATTGGAAAACAGGTTTGATTTTTTATATTATTTCAAGACGTCACACAAACGTGTTCATTAGTGTCACAGAGCCAGAAGCAAATAACCGTTTTTGAAAGCACTTATAAAGAGTTTATCAACTTTTTAAGCTTAGCCGAATAGCTTCAAATGAGTAACCCTAAAACAGTTTTTTTATGTCCACACTGAAAGTGTCACTTAGGTCATCGGGATTTTTTTCTTTAAGTTCTAATTATTGAATGCTTGTTTCGTCATTTAAACTGATAGTGTGGTGTGCGAATGAAAATAAGATGTCATAAAATAATAAATATTTTAGTTAAAAATCTTTGTTTCGATATTTATTAAATTTTTTAAAATAATGAAAAGCACTTATTAAAACTTGATTTCTTTAACTTTAATTGATACACTCCGAATATTAAGAACAACATACCTTTTAAAGAAAAAAACTTCCGATCACTTTAAAATCTCCTAAACGAATGATCGTTTTTTATATGAGAGAATCAAGGGATTCTCTTTTCTTGTAGAAGATTGAGATTACTGAAAAATATGTTGCTACGAGCATTTAAGCATTTCTTTAAAAAATTCCACCTCTTATTAGATTATTTAATTTCTTCTTTCTGACTACTCATTACCTAGATTATTCAATATCTTCGTTGTCTATTCGTAGTGATGCTTCACAGTTTTTAAGCAAAACCAAGGGTATAGCCCAAAACTGGTAGAAATTATACTCTCGAAAAATTCAACAATAAAAAATGAAGAGAGAAGTGAAATTCAAGGAAACAATAATTGTTGGTTTGTGAGGTCAACATGAGGTCTCTTATGAGGTTTTACTTATTTGTCAATTCATAAATAAATAAGCTAAAAGTTTATTTTCATTTTTTATTAATGTATTTTTCTTTTTACAGATTTACATGTTTTAAATAAATCTTACAAAACAGAAAATTAAAAATGCATTTTCATTTCCCAATTGTCGCTAAATTTTATTCCATTACATGACCATGAAATTGGTATAAAATAGTTCCTCCAGTCTTCTCGATCAAAGTCACAGTTCTTTCTTGCATAAAATTCCATGTGATATAAACTAAGTATAAGTCCCATTCCTATAGCTATTGCAAGCCACATAAAAATGTTTCCAAAAGCTTTGTGCTCTTTTTTTGTGAGAAATATTAGCACAACACCAACGCCTTGAAACATCACGAATAAAATAGGATAGCAAAATTTAAAGGTGAATCCAAGAATATATTCGTGAAAAATTGCTGATAGAGTAAATACGAGTAATAGTGATAAAACACGATTACGTCCTGTTACATATTCATATAAATCTTTGTAAACGTAAAGGTAAAGCCAATCATGTACAATAACATTCCAAGTTCGATAATAGACAGTAAAGTTTGAACTGTTCCACCAATCGCTATAAAATTTTCTGTCAGCAAATTTTAACATTTCAGCAAATGCATTCATCCATGAATGAAGAACACAGTAGAATCCACATAAGAAACATAGTAATCCAGGCAACATACTGTTAAATACAGATGCTAATAAATCCTTAAAATTGACTTCATATCCTTGTGATCCAAACTGATTGTAAACTGGATACATGATCCGCTCTGAAATTAAACTGTAGATGAAAATTACTCCAATAACTTCCATGAAACTTTTGGCAACGAATTTCCATTTTATTTGTTTAGTACGAGGATATTCATCCCGATAAACAAGTGTGGGTGCGAAAAGGAAATATACGTACTGCCCAAAAGTTGGAAAAAGGCGTTTTTCGTTAATTCTAAAATTTTCTATTGTTTTCATTTTTCCATTTGATTGTGGTTTGTTCCATTCATTATCATCTGTTTTGAGTTTATTTTTTGAATTTAAGATACGTGGAACGTTTGTTCTTATAAATGCATAAGATTTCATGAGGAACCTTACTAATTCCATTAATGCTGCTACAGATGAAGCTGGTGCCATATCAAAGTAAATAACCATTCTTGTGAATACCAATGTAAATATGATCATGTACATTGCGACAATTAAGACACTGAACATGTGCCATATAATAGCAAAGTCACTTTTTATGAAAAATTTCCTTGTTATTACTGACCAAATATTAAATGCTGGAAAAAGTCCAAAAGTTACTGTTTGCATCATGCACCAGATGATGAGAGCATAATGAAAACCTCCAAAGCCAGTTATAATCGGGCCTAAGCCTATGTTTATTTTGCCCGTATCAGCAAAGTCTGCTATGAGAACGTTAAGTAATAGCAAGTTGAAGATAACGATAAAAATGTGATAAATCGTTTTTAGGTGTTTGATTTCAAACAGGTCTGTGAGTAGGGCGTTCCTGGGTTGGAAATGCTTTTCTGGAAGTTTAACTCTAGGCTCAAATTTTTTAGGTTTGTCACTTTGTTTGACAGTGATTTCAGCCTTGCTTTTGTGTTTCCCATTTAAACCGTCATCAAAAAGTTTTTCTACTTCAAAACGATTTAAGCTTAGCTTATTCACTTCGATTAAAAAGTCGTCAAATATTTTATCTAATTTTTCATCAATCTCATGCACCACTTGCTTATGCTTGTTAAAAATATTTTGTTTTAAAACCTCCAATTCCATGTCTTGGAACATAGTATTGAGTGAAGTTGTCCTACGGCGGTCCTTTTTTTCAGAAAGTTCTTTCATTGCGCACAAAATAACTTTAAACCGTAAATTGTAATTTTATCACTAAATGCAACAACTATACTGAAAATGAGTAAGAAAAAATTAGTGTGGATTCAATAGTTCGACTGTTCTTTTATCGCCTAAGTTATCTTATCGGAAAGATAGCAAATTCAAATGGTTGTCGCGTAAAAAATACAACGTAGCAAAAGAGTAACTAAAGAATCAAATTAAACATACATGACTAACAATGAGCTTACCTTAAAGCATGACTGTTTTGTTCGCCGTTTTATATCTAGTAAAACTAGCTGAACAATATTTAGAATTCAATTCATGAGTTTTATGGCAACTAATGAATTATTTAATTAGCTATTTAAAAATTTACTTTTGCTCCTATATCATTTATATTATCACGACAAAATATAAATGAAACAATTTGTTTTAGTATTACATCAAGTCTTTTCACATAATTGCAGGGATCAGAGAATATTATTCTTCAACCTTCCGAATTGACGGCTGAAACTTTTCATGTCACTTAAGGACACTCGTAAAATAAAAAAAATATTTACATTAATTAATCTACTTATAAAATTTCATTATGAAATGATCGAAAATAAGAAAATAAAAATTAGTTTTATAAGCTTTTCCAGTTTAATGTTTTAAAATTAATTTAGTAGCATTTGAAATGGTTATTTAAATGAAATAACATTATTACAGAAATGTTGAGATAATTTTAATAAGAGTAAATGCTTGAATCAAAACCATATTGTTGAACGTGTTGATCAATCCAATCTCGAAAGAGTGCAATGTTAGTATAAACGGCTGGAAGAGCATCGCGACAACCAATTCCCCAAGCAACAGCTCCTATTTGAACGTAACGATTATCAGATGCAATTCCTACTGGACAAACTAAGGGACTGCCACCATCTCCCTGAAACAGATATTAAGAATAAGTTAATTTTAAATCGGTCAAATGTTAAAATTGATTTACTTGACAAGTGTCGATATCTGGCTCACCACCTGCGCATACGAACGAATGATGAAGATTAAATCGAGATCCTAGTCTAGTTTTTCTTAAACTTGACTGACAGCTATGAAAAGGAACCTAAAAATTCGAAAGCTCGAAAATCTCTATTCGCTATAATTTACTTTCAAATCCCTACCATAGGTAATTGAACCTTTTTCATTATAACAGAATATTTTCCTTCTTTTCCGAAAACATCCTTTCCCCAACCACTAGCAAAACATGATTGGCTGTTTGAAAAATATCCCTGAGATGGTAAACAAATTACATTTATGTGCTGATCAAGTGTTACTGGTTGATCTAGAATCAAAATTGCCTCAATAGGAAAAGAAATTATGTTACACACATAAATCGCAAACACTTAGAAATCTTAAATTAAAAACTTACAACATCATTTGCAAGTGACTTTGAGTTAAATTCAGGATGTATTATGATACTTTGAATGTCTCTTTCTTGATAAGGTAAACGTTCTTTGGTCGTTTGGGTGTCCCATTCACCAGCTCTAATTTTCAAATCTCTTGAAGTGATGTTGAAAACACAATGCGCTCCTGTGAGAACTACTGAAGGATGAATTAAAGAACCTCCACATAAACATTCTGTATGTTGGCTTAAAAGAGCAACGGTCCATGGAAATTCTCCAAAACCAGCTTCATTATGTAAATTTCCAGCAAGAGAAAAATCGATACCATTAACGTTTCTTATTCCGCATCCTGTAGGCTGTTGAACTGAAAGTGGAGGTTTAGGCGGTACAATAACTTCATTTGTCTCTCTGTTAGGTGTGCAACAAACGTCAAGAACGTCTTGGCAGGTCTGAGGGTTAAAACTGTAAAAAAAACATTAATTACTGTTGCGCTTCAAAAAATAAATATTTAAATTATTGAGAAATAATTTCTAAATTACCGAACATCGATTTCTCCAAAAAATCTACTGTCAGTTGTACTTGTTGTAGGATTATTTGAAGGTTCACACATCCAATAAGGAACACATTTACAAATCTGTCCGTTTGTATTTATGACTTGTGGTGCTTGTGTAGGAGAAATATTCTCTGGTTCTGGTAAAACAATTTCACCAAACCCTCCCCTATTGACGTTTTTTGTATTTCCTCTGGAATTTCCAAAAACATTTTGAATTCTATCGTTTAGGACACCATCGTTATATTGAGTTAATCCGTTGTTAACGCAAAAGATAATGTAAAATATTAGTATAATTGTATAGAGTACACTTTGACTCATTATTTATATGGAATATCAATTAATATAGAAGGAGATTAAAATAGTGTGAACTGTGAAGAATTCGGACCCTCGCTGTGTGATTTAAACTTAAAACTAAACTATAAATGAATTTCAGAGAGGCAATTTGCTGAGAAATCTCAAGTATTTTTGATTAATAATGTTCTCTCATATTTCTTGGAAATTTCTCGATATTCATCGACCTTGAATTAGGAAAGACAAGGGGGAAACCAACAAAAAAAAGGCATTAAAAAGCACCATAAGTAATTCCAAGAAAAACTAAGCAAATTCGTGGAAAATGGACTTGTTTTTGGAGAAGCACTAATTTTTTTGAAGCACTATTTCGGGGGTCGTTGTGAAAAAGCACTATGTTGGTTTTCCCCTTGAAGAAAGAGACATAAAAAAACTCACAAAATGCGAGACCTCAAGAAAGTCAAACTGGTTTTATGGGCGACTCAAAGGGGTTGCTCATCGAAAAAAAATTACCGGTTAAAGCACCATTATGGAAACAAGCACTACCTAAATTCCAAGAGAAATTACCAAATTTTGGGAAAATTGATATTTTTTTTTAGTTTAACAGCCCCTTGGCCCCTAGGCGATTCATATTGCCTGAGAATCTTGGTTTTACGCTCATACTCAGTAAACCGAAAGTAATTTAAATAATCTGAATGTAGTCAAAATTTATTCTCTGATTTTAAATGTTTGAATTTAAAAGATGAAATAGAAAATGACCGAGGGTAATATTAGCACACCGACCTTTTTCACAATTAAAATTTATTTCTAAGGCGTTTCATTTTTATCTATGTTCCAAAGTTGTTTTATTTTATTTTAATCCATTCATAATCTTTAATATTTATTGAAAACAAATCTGCACTGGTGAAGTCTTGAAATAACATACTATCATTACTGCTCAAAATCTAGAGCAAAATGTTCTTCATACACATCTATCTCTCGATATACAGCACTTCGTTTCCAGTCCCTTCAACTTTTGTTCAACAAGTACAGAAAGTTTTGATCAACCTTAAACTTTGGATTTAAGCACATTGCATTAGAATTCATATAAAAGAATATCATACACTCACATATAAAGTGAAGTAAGTTTTCAAGCAAATATTTTAATAAATTTAGTCATTTTCCAAGAACAGTTTTTCTTTTTATTTTATAACTACCTATATGTATGAAGACTTCTACATTTTTAGATTTGAAATATACACTTTAGCTTCTAAAAACAAATGCCAGTCATATACCTATTCCACCTACTACAAAAAGCTTTTTCAAAAAAACAGTTTTTTCTGGCAGCTAAAACCTTAAAACTTCCTGAAAAATCTCAAAACTTGATAGAATCATGGTATTAAATAAAAAAAAGTTTTAATGAGAATTTTTTTTTTATAACTTTGCTTCAAATTTCATAAAATAATTTAAAAAGTTAAAAGAATTTATTTATTTTTTAATTCTTGGGTTAAATTCAAAGGCCACCGTAAAGATTGGATGAAGGTACAAAATGTTATAAAACAGCCTTCAAAAGAAATGATTTGACGTCTACTTACATACATTTCTTCTTTATTATTTATTTATTTGATAAGTCATTTTGATTCACAAATTTTATAAATTTTCTCAGCTTCATCATATTTTGAGTTACCTTTTTGATAAGGAAATGTAAATTCTCTGTACGCAATTGCAACTCGTCTTGAAAATATATCTTCTCTAAGAACAGAATGTTCATACTGATATCTTGCAGGTCCACTCATTATCAATAATGATCTTTCTGGCATAGGAATTCGAATAACAATATTATCGGGAACTTCATTTACTAAAGGAACAATAAGTTGGCTTTCATAACTTTCCATTGAATCTATATTATATTGTTTATCGTACATCGGAATATGTTTCGTTAATGTGAGGACAGAATTTCCTAAACAGTTGACAGTCACAATTCGTTCACCCCTGAAAAAGAATTATTGGTTAAGAGAGAAAGATAATATTTATACATATTAAATCGTCTTACCATATCCAACAATCGTCAATATGTGGATCTATATGAGATCCTCTGTTCGTATCATACTCTAGAAAGCATTCCTCAATAGTGATAAAGTCTTTTAGAAAGTCGACGTTTTTAAATCGTTGCCTTAAAAAGAGGGTGCATGGAGGAAATCCTTCAAACTTCCCAATCGAAAGTTTTTTCTTTTTAAAATTTACTTTGGGGCCAAAATTTTTCTTTCTTCTTCCACTTTGTGATGTATCCCATCCCAAATTTTTATCTACAGCTTTTACAAGCGAATCAGCTTCCTCAGATGATATAAATTCAAGTATAATACACACTCCTGGAAAATTGTGTCCCGTCATTGATTCATGGTCATCACATCCATTGATGGATTCCCAACATTTGTAGATTTTCTCACAGGTTGGACAATAGGAAAAAAATAGCCGACTCTAATAAAAAATTTTAACAAACATTTTTTAATTAAGTTTGAAGTATCCTTTAAGTACCTTGAATTAGGTAGATTTTAATACATAAAAGTCATCAATTAGGTACTTACTTTATACTCTTCGTAATAGTTTTTTGGAGTTTTATCAAGAAGCTTTTCACAAAGAAGACAAGTTCTTTTGCCCTTACAGTCACAAGTTTTTGTAATGCTTGAACTCTCCATTCAGCTTTTCAACTTTTTTTTGTTTAAAATCGTTAAATTTGGTTATTGAGGGAGTGTACACCAAAAATATATGTCATTAGATTAAATCTAATGATACGAAAATTTAAAATTTAGATTATTCGATTTGCATTTATCTTTTTTTTAAAAGGTTGGTAGTAAATGAAAAATTATTTTTCTTTTATTTACGAATATCAGAAAATTACACATCATTATGATGTGTAAAGTTTTTTAAGTTTACATATGAAGTGGTGTAAAACAAGTTTTGACGTTTATCCGGTTGTGATAATTACACTCTCCACCTAAAACTAGACTTTGGGGAGACGAGTTTCAGCTAGAGAGTGCATTCCGTAGAATGTATTAGAAATTCTTTCTTAATGGGTATATAAACAAAGATTGAAGGTGAAACTATTATTCCATCTCAGGATTTAACAATGACAGCCATGGATCTTCAACCTATTAGGAAACAACTTCATTTGAACCCATACGAATATCATAAATACCTTATAAATGAGTACGTTTTAAAAAAACCAGGAGATTCAAAGTTGGTAGATTTATAGAAATAATATTTATTTTCAGAATCAAAAATTTAATTGTAATGCTAATTTTTTAGCCTCATCCGAGAAAGAGATCGAAGCAAATGGAAGTCTGACAAAGATGTAATCCTTGAAAACTTAAAATTTATTTGGAATGAAAATGATATCCCAGAATCATGGGAGGAGCGAATAGCAAAAAAGTATTATGACAAACTTTTTCGAGAATATTGCATATGCGATCTTTCAAAATACAAAGAAAATAGAATTGCTAACAGATTTCGGATTGAAAAGGAAGTTATAACAGGGAAAGGTCAGTTTATTTGTGGTGAAAAATCATGTCAGCGAAGTGAAGCTTTAAGAACTTGGGAAGTCAACTTTAGTTACACTGAAAAACATGAAAAGAAAAATGCTTTGGTTAAGATTCGTAAGTTTCTCTAATATTTATTTTGTTAAAACTTTTATGACATAAACTCTTTTTCTTAAAGGGTTATGTGAGGAGTGTTCTGAAAAACTTAATCACAGAAGTAAAAAAAGAGAAATCAAAAGATTGTCTAAAAGAAAAAGTAAACAATTTGAGTCTCTTGAAAAGCCTGCTGAAAAATCAAATATTGGCGAATACACACATGACTCAATTAAAGCGGTTGAAGTATCTTCCTGTCAAGAAAAATCTGGTCGCCACGAAAACATCATTGAAGAAAATCTTTGGACGAAAAGCAGTCAGACGGATCACAGAAGTCGAGATGAAGAATTTGATGAATATCTGGCTGATCTATTACTTTAATCAAAAAAGGAGCATTTTAACCAAACAGTTGAAACATCGTTGAACATCGTGAAACTAAATATATAAATTCTTATTACACCCCGAAGCCCAAGTTTTGGTAGATCTAACTTCCTTAGCTTTAATTAAAATTTTTATCGATACACAGGCTTGTAGCTTCTGGAGATTCTTGTAAGGCGTCACTCATTTTACTGCAAAATATAATATTATAAAACAAAAAGTTTGACTTTAATTCAAAATTAAGTTCTAAGTAAAAATATTTAGAAAATGCGATTGAGTCAATTTTGTCTTTTTAAGATATAGGCATTGTTTTTATTTTGGTTACCAAAAGATTTTCTTATTATGCAGTTAAAAGTTAAGCATTGATTTGTTATTTAGATATCTAAAAAAAATATCATCCTCTAAAAATGTGGTGAGAATTAGCTTGCACACCATTCATTTAAACATGAATCTTCTTGAATATTATTAGCCTTAAGCGAAGCTACAACATATTTATTCAAAATAAATAATGAACTTTCTACAGAAGCAAAATTTCTTATTACACACATGCAGCTTCAAAATTCCATGGAGAATGCTCACTGACTCTCTGACTCTCTTTTTTTCAATAATTACAAATCTTACGTTACTGTAAAAAGAAAATAGTCTATGAGAATCGCTTGATGTTAAAGGTTGTGTGTTAAAACTATCAAAGATAACGGTATCGTGAAGCCATTTTACGACATTTTAAACAATATAAGACTAAACAATTATTAATGCAAACTGTTTAAAAATATTGGTATTTTAAATATAAGAAGCTAAATAGAAGGAAAATATTAGTTGGTGATTGTTGTACAAAAAAAGTTCAATAAAAATGTGAAATTCGATTATCGTGTCATGGCGAGTAAAAAAAATTCTATAAAAGTGAATTTTATTCAGTAATGAAAAGTAAAACTTGTGAAAAAAAGTAGTAGCAACAAAGAAAAAAGCACAAAAAGAAAAATTTCCTAGTTTTCAGCTTAAAAATTGGATTAAAGCTTTGAACAAATTCATATAATACACAAAAGGAAACCATCGCCATGTTTCCAACAGCTTCAGCAAGTAGACACCCGGCTGCGGTAAGCTCTTATGCGAGTTGAGCACTCGTTACTCAAGACGATGAAAATAAAATTATTCGATTATTAATTTGACAAGTTTTCTAAGAAAACAAAAAAATTAAATAAAAATTTTGTAAAGTTTTTTTTATACACCCTGTCCTATACATTGAAACGTATGATGGGCGGGAGAGAGTATGTATTCGAGCAAAGGAGAGAAATTCTCAATTCCTTGTTCATTCTTTTGACTTTGTAAAACAAAAAAAAACAATTTGGATTTTTGCAATACTTATTAGGTATTATGCCTACAGAGAAAAATATTACGCAGAAAAATAGTAATAGTACTTTACTTAATAATAACCGATTAGTTAGTTATTTATCTGATGCTTATAAACAGATTTACATTCTCTTTTTTCTTGGCACTAAGCGCAGAATCGGATCATTCTCTAAATACAAACTCACAATTCAATCATTCATATCAGTTTTATTTCTCAATATTGAGGAAAACTCATACCTTCAAACTTATCTCAAATGTTTTCTCATTTTTTTCTAAATATGTGCTAAACTGGCTGTTTAGAAACGAGAAATATTGAACTTAAAGTTCTTAGAGAATTTTAAAATTGTCTTCTAGCATTTGTTTCATTTTTATCACATCTTCGTTATAACAATGTCTTTGTTTTGTTTTTGTTTTCGACTAAAAGTAATAGGGTTTTTATTTTGATTTGGTTGTAATTTGTTTTTCCTTTGGGCTCTTAATAGCTTTGTCAAGAATAAACTAAACTAAATTTAACAAAATGTAGCTTAAATTAAGAGTTTGAACAAATCCCGCTTATTTGCTATCATAGATATTAATTTCAAAACTAGGTAACTTTATCTTTAACGGTTACTAACCATTTTCCTTCTTCTGATAATAATTATTGATAAAAATTCTTCACTCATGATTTCTATCCTTAAAAATTTAGTTATAATTTTGTTTACTTCGAATCTATAAGTTTAATCCTTATATTCACAATATGTTATCTTTTGTTGATATATTATGTATAGATCTGAAGAATTAGTAGTGACATTTTTTGTTCATTCTCATTTTATAAACTTTAGTGAATGAATTTCTTTCTTCAGAGGGAGGAAGTTTGATTATAAGTTTGATTAAACAACATGTAAAATTCTTTATTTTCTTAAGCATTGTTTCCGTCACTCTAGAATATATCGTATGTTATTAAAAAACGTCATATGAAATTCATTGAAGCTTCCAAAAACCAAAACTATCGAAGCCAATAATATTATACATAAGAAGTAAGGACTTTTTTTTCTTCAGAAATCGTTGAAAATAATCAATAAAAAAATCACATAGAATCTGTTTTAGATCTAAAGACATGAGAAGAAGCCTTATCATGAGATCGAAAAGATGAAAACAAAAATAGGGAGTAGAAAAAAAAAACACAAAACAAAAAAATATCAATTCATTCATTCACTCAATAAATATAATATTAGATATGGTGTTTTATGTACATTATACATTTTCAAAGGAATGTACAATCGATCAATGAATTGTGGTGTGAAAATATCTGTGAGGGTTTTAAGCACCGCATGGTGCACGCTTTATTGACTGTACCCAAATGTTTTCGAATAGGTTGAGTGTACGTGCGAACAAATAGGAACCGAGAGGCAAAAAAACATGCATAAAGACGAACAAAAAGCAGCGAAAAGAAAAAAAAATTCGAAATAAAAATATTAATTCACTGAGTGTACGGATTTCTGTTAAAAGCGAACAGAAAGCTGTACATACATACATATCGATATGTTTATACTATATTCCTTCTTTGAGTTCTGAATGATGTTACTGGTAAGCATCCAAAGAGTGAATTCATAAAAAAATCCTCCCTTTCGATGCAGAAGAAGAAGGCTAGGTAAACGAAAAAAATTGATTCTGGTGCGGTATCTGTGCAGGAAAATTAAATTGAAATGAAGTATAAATAAATATCTACACTTACTTACTTTTGTTCAAGTGCTATAAATATAAACTAAAAGTTTTCTTTGGATAGATGATTAATCATAATTTATCCTTTCTGTATTTATTATTCCTATTCAAATTCAAACAAGTTTTTTATTCTCAAGATATTTTTGCTAAATTTTCAAGTTCAGGTTCAAATTCCATATTATTTTCAATTGGACACAACCTTGTCAAATGTTTTGAAAGAGAAACTTTGAAGATTAATCCCGATTTATCCTGCCCTAGAACGTCAGATAGAAGAATATAATAATAACCTATGTTCTAGATAACATGTTAAAATAAATCTTAAGAACAAATGGAAACTAGAAACGTAATATTGAATGATTACAACAATCTCAGTTTCAAAATTAAACTTTTTTAGAATTCAATAAAATCCTCTTGTGTTTACTTAGTGTTTATACAAAAAAGTAGTTATAATAATAGTTTTCTTTAATTTATAATATTCATTGAAACATTAGATTTAAATAGAAAATTAAAGTAATTTTTTCAAAATTTGCAAAAGGTGATAAAATTGTAATATCAACTTTAAAAAAGTATATTCTATTACATCAACTCAAGTGGTTTTACCTTTCTTTGGTTGCTGTAGCACAACATAGTTCTTCTCATTCTATTAAACTCAATATTCGAACTGTACACATGATAAGTTCGGATAAACGAAAATATTCCATTTTTACAATGTATAAAAGGAATAAATATACCTAATTTGAAAAATATAATAATGATAGCTATTTACGATTTTTTTCTTCTCACACTGAACCATCAACAGTAGTGTTGTTCATTTCTTTTTGGAAAACACTATTTTCAAAACAATATTTTGGGTCGTCAGGAAAAGTTCTTAGTTGGATTCCCCCTTAGCTACATGCTTTATTCTCTCTTTTTCTCTCAATCTTTATTCTCTTTTCTCAAGTCTTCTCTGCAAAGTTACCCATCAAGGGGTTGGTCATCAAAAGCAATTGGACGTGCCATTATGATAAAAAGCTCTTGTAAAATGCCATGAAAAGCTAAGCAAAATCTTGGAAAATGAACGTATTTCCCGAAAAACACTAGTATTTTTCGAAGCATCATTTAGAGGCAGCCGGGAAAAGCACTTCGATGGACCGACCCTTATTACACATTACGTAGATATTTTGATTTTCACATGTTCACTCTTAAATTTTAGTGTAATGTTTTTTATAATTATGCTCTCACGAATGACAAGTGATCCAAGAAGAATTAAATGATGTTTTCTAATATTATCAATATGTGACTTTAGCTTGAAGGAATCAGTAATTATAATCTATGGCATAGCATTAAGACATATCACCCCTGCCATAACAAATTTTTAAAATAATTGTAACACAATTTTCTGCAACTTTCGTGCCAGGGAACCAATGTGTACACTACTACTTCGTATTAAGCACAATCTTTTCTATACATCCATTTCAACTTGAGATTTCAAGAACTTTATTTATATTTTTAAAGTCAAAAAAGCGGGCTAAACTGAAAGATTTTTTGTTAAGTCATCTGTAAAATATATTTTCTTAGTGTTTTTTCAGTAATTTGTTCTTGTTCCACAAATTTACTTTGCATTCTGTGGTGTGATTTTTGTTGGTCTTACCTATGTTTTTTTTAATCCTCGTAATGAGAACTAAACGGTCTTTTTGAAAGGATTAATGAAAAAATAAGATGTGCATGTTCCTTGTACCATCAACAGTGTGTTAGTGACAAAAATGAAATAATGCCTGACACTCAAAATATTTGAAAACACAACCACACTTGAAAACTAATAAAAGTATTTGACAACAAAACAATTAGAAAATTGTTATCATAACAAAATAGAGAAGTAAATGCATTGAATATCTGAAAGTATTAATAGAATGAGAACTTTTATGCGTCGTTAGTTAGAATCTCGAAAGTATCCTCATAACCATCGTAATTATACACTCCTTCCTCAAAATATTGAACTTTACTGCTTTCAAAAGAAATCATTCATGTCTTAAACACAAAAACTTTTAAGTATTTCACATAACATGAAAAGTTCGGGCTTCAATATAGACGTATAAAATTAAAAAAAGACACGAAATAAATTATAACTTAAAAGAATAAAAGAATTAAGTTAATCAAAATTATTTTTAATAACTCACTTGACAGAGATAAGCCTTATTAGAAAGCAAATAAGAGTCTGCTTTATTTTTTTCATATGGGGCTGTTTGTGGAGAAGTAAAGCTGTCTCTTTCTAAAAAAAAGCACTGTATAAACACTATTTAAATATATTATAGCCAACAGCTAAAACATAAGTAGTGATGACAGTTTTTGGCTTTGAATCTAATTAGTGTTCATATCATGTTGTTTTTTCTATATTTAAATACATTTCTCTTCTCCTGATAAAAAACCAGTGAACTGATTTTTGGTATATTCCTTTTTTAGGGACCACCGCCACAAGGCCCTCTTAAATTTACTATTGCAGACACTTTAGAACGCATCAAAGAAGAATTTAACTTTTTACAAGCACAGTATCACTCGTAAGTATTTTGTTTTTTTATGATAAAATTTCTTTGAAATTAAAAATTAAAGTTCTCAAGATTGCATATATGTGATGCAAAGTTGGATAATCCATGATCCTTGCTTTAGCTCTCCACTATTTGACTTGACATTTTTTTGACTTTTAGAAAACTTAAAGATTTTTCATGTGATCAACAATTTTATTTCAAAATATATTTTTCCATTATTCTATTTTTTTAAAAAATTAA